CGCGCCGCGTCTCGAAGCCGTGCAGTGCGCGCAGGCCCTGGGGGCGGTGTGAAGAGGTTGAATAGCGCAGCCCGGGCAGCGCCTTGCTTCGGGTCTCAGAAGCTGCAATCGGGTGGGGCAGCAAGGGCAGGGGGAGGGGGAGAGGCAGGGCTCGGGGGGCGGGCGGGAGTGGCCTGGCCAGCGCCGTCCTCGCCGCCGTCGCCGCCGCCCGCCTCGCCGCCGCCCGCCTCGCCGCCGCCCTGCCCGCCGCCGCCCTGCCCGCCGCCGCCCTGCCCGCCTCCAGCCGCGCCCCTGCCCCGCGGCGGCTCGGCCTGCATGGTTCGGAGCAGGACGGGCAGGCGCGTGCACATCTGAGGGGCGGGCCGGGGAGGGGGGCAAGGTCAGCCCAGGCAAGGCGGCGAGGCGCCGGCCGGCGGGCGCGGCTCGGGGCTCATTGCCGGGTGTGTGTGTGGGCTGCGGCGCTGCCGCCTGCTTCAGTGACGCTATTCACGGCTACACTACTCCCAGCTACACGATTCGAAGCTGCCGCCTGCTCGAGCGACGCTGCGATGGCACCCGCCAGGTCGGGCTCACCCGCCTCCTCTCCGCCCGCCTAAGGACATGTCTCGGACATGTCATGGACGTGTCCTAGACATGTCCGCCTCCTCTCCGCCGCCCGCCTCCTCTCCGCCGCCTGTCGCCCGGGGGGGGAGGCGGGTCAGAGGGGAAGGCGCGGGGCGGCGGGCGGGATGGGGCGGCGTCACCGGACGAAGCGGCGGCCGAGGCGACCGGGGCCAGCGCGGGCTCGGGCTCCAACGAGGAGCCCGCTGCCGCAGTGTCCCCCGCTGCCGCAATGCCCGCCGCGGAGGCAGTGGTGTCCGCCGCTGGAGTGGTGCCTGTGCCGAGGCCCTCGAAGGTGCGGCGCCTCTTGCGGCGCTGCGCCCCAGACGGGCGAGGGGCGGCCGGGGCGGGGGCGTCGGCGGCGGCGGGAGCGGCGGCGTCGGCAGCGGCGTCGGCAGCGGCAGGAGCAGCGGTGTCGTCGTCGGCGGCGGGAGCGTCGGCGTCAGCAGCGGCGGCGGCGGCGTCCGGGGCCGGCGGCGGCGGCTCGCCGAGAGGGGCGAGAGGGGCGAGAGGGGCTCCGTCTCCGGCGGAGTCGGACGCGGCGGCGGACGCCCCGCCTCCGCCGGCGTGGGCACGCTCCGGCTCGGCGGCCTCAGGCTGCGCCGCCGCGACGGATGCTGCGGGCGGCGGCTCCGGCGCGGTCCACCGCACCTCGTTGGTCTCGGTGTTCCAAAAGTAGTATGCCGATGAGGCGGGATCGTGGCAGCGCTCCCACGCGCCCCAGGCGCACCACTCGGACTCTGCGGCGATGCTTTGCGGCGCGCTTCCGTCCGTTGGGCCGCTCTCGTCCTCGTCCTCGTCGTCGTGGTACGCACCGAGCAGCCCTAGCAGCGGATTGGCGGCGGCGGCTTCTCGTTGTGGATTGGCAGCCGGATTGGCAGCCGGTGCCGGCGCCGCGGCGCCGTCGGGCGGCGGCGGCGGCTCCTCGTTGTGCGAGGACGGCGGCACGGCGGCGCTCATGCCGGCCAGGTCGAGCACCGGCCGGCGCCCGGCCCAGCGTTTGCCCATTCTTTGTGTATAGGTGGGCCCTGTCGAGTAGACGACCCGCCCGCCCAGCTCTTTTTAGAGGGGCGTCTCAGGAGCGTGAAGAGCCGAAAAGAAATCGCTTGCTCTGACAACAACACGGTGTTTTTTTCTTTCTTAGGCACGGGACTGGCGCGCACAAGAAATTCGACACGGAGCGCCCTCGAGGAGAGGAGCACTTGGAGCACTTGGAGTGCAGTCATCAACCGCACATCCAGGGCCGGGGAGCTAAGAAGCGCACCCAGCGGGCCGGATGATTGGCATCGGGTTGCGGGCAAGAGAGCCCTAGCCCCGGGGGTGCGCGTTCGCAGGGAAAGGGCCTTAAAGTAAACACAGGTCTCCGAGGGTTGGTTCCGTGTACCGGGTTTCCCCTTAACTTCAGAACGCCCCCTCTACTCGGAGCTAGTAGACATGACACTGTACACCACTCACGTACACAGGTCCTCACTCAGCATCCCGTCTCAGGGAGCGCGCCGGATTTTTGGAAGCACATGCAGGTCGGATACAAGTTGGGTCAGGACGGCCGTCTGTGCGGACAAGATATCGTTGAGGGCCTTTGCCTGCTCCTCGCCCTGCGCCTTGAGTGCGTCCTTGAGTGCCTTTGCCTGCTCCTCGCCCTGCGTCTTGAGTGCCTCGATCTGCACTGAGATTTCCTTGAGTGCCTTTGCCTGCCCCTCGCCCTGCGTCTTGAGTGCGTCCTTGAGTGCCTTTGCCTGCCCCTCGCCCTGCGCCTTGAATGTGTATTTGACATGCGTCTTGAGTTGGTACTCTTTGTAGGAAGCGTGGGCTGTGCATGCAGAGGAACGTGAGACGCTACAAGCGTTCCTGGCGAAGAAAGAAGCATCGAAACACTGCCAGTCCCAAGCGAGGTGATGGCGAACAGTCGCATCAGACTCGAGCCTCCGCCACTCCACCCCCGAGGGCCGCAAGCCACTTGGAAGCGTAGCCTTTCGCGAGTTTTTGTTCGGAATGCGAACTGGCCCAGAGGCTACACTGAGTTCGTTAAGCATTGCCTGCCAATCCTCCCGCAAGCGCTCGACGCGGCCAACAAAGTGCAACCGAGCCACCCCCTGTTGCCGATCGAAGTTGTAGCCTGAGACCTGTGGGCGCAAGTGGTCGCGCGCGCAGTTGCGCATGCCTGTCGCCCAAGACTTCAAGCGCCAAAGACTGAAATTCTTGAGTTTTCCCAGCTGACTCGTGTTCCGGAAGGGGCCTAACCCGAACGATCCTTGAAGGTCATCCCGAAAAAATAGGTCGAGCATCAGCTTGACGTCGTCTGCATTGGCCAGGACATGACCTGAGCCAAGGAGTGAAACACCAGGCTGTGTTAACATCAAGCAGTGATGTAGCTGACCAGCAGCCGAGATCAGCAGCTGCAGCGGCTCGCGAACGAAGGTGAACTCAAATGGCTTCAACGCAAGCGCCTTGCTGAGGTTCGTGATCCCAGAAAGTCGGAATGGTGGGCGTCGGAGCAGATGCATAATACTAGTGTGCGCCGCCTTTGGTGTCACCCAATAAATTACGGAGCGATCTCCGCCCGCTACATCAAAGTGTAGCCATTCTCGGACACCCTGCTCCATCAGTGAGCGCGTTGTTCGTGAAGCGGCTGACCAGGTCGGGCGGCGGTGACAACGGCGGCTGTCCCACAAGCTGCAACGCTCGCATTCTGGCAGCTGCAGACCCTTCCCCTCCATGGAGCAGGCTACCTCGTTGCGGGATCGGCAATGGCGTCCTGTCCTGATTATGGCAGGCCCGCAGCACTGGCGAGCGCCTCCAGGTCTCTGCGAGCAGCCGCGCCCTCCGCACGTGCCGCACGTCGCATTGCAGCAGAACTGGCGGGTCGGGTCTGCGACACCCGCCAGGCACAAGCCCTCGCCGGGTAGTGGCATGATACAGTATTATGCGGCGGTGGTCGCTAAGGCGTTCGCGCCGCTCACAGACCTGACAGCAATATTGCAGAAGTACGTGGCGCCATTATTAACTCCTGCTAAGAAATACTGGTGGCGGCGTGCCGTCCTCACGTCCCTCCCTTGGGTTGTCTGTTTTCTTTCTTTTTTTCTGGAGTCGAGCCCTTGCGGTGAAAGATCTTTCTTTTTCGCGAGAAATCGGTCCGACCATACGTCGCAGCCGCCGAGCCTGCGCCACAACCCAGCTTGTGCCACGACTTGACCTTTCTTTCCTTTGTTTGTAGGTCAGTCAGGCCCGGCTTCCTCGTGGGACGTGGCATGCAACTCTCTCTCAGACTCGCTCCCCCGCCCCCCGGGCCGCTTGTCTCTATCCGCGTTCCGGTGGTCTCAGGCCCAGTGAAGCAGATGGTAGTGCACTGGTCTAACTCGGATCCTGCTTGCTGAACAAGCAAGTTCCTCTTTCTTTCTTGTAGCTCGTGCTCGATCGGTCACACCGCCATCACCGCCGGGGAGCGGGGAGAGGGGGGGCGACACTGCCTCAGCAGCGTGCACCTCGATCCTGTACCGTGTTTGCTATGGACCCCCCCCAATGACCACACCAGAGAGGGAGGGCGAGACGATCGAGGGGTCCCGTACCATGGTCCATGCGGAATCGACCCCGTGCAAGCCCCGCAGAGGTGCGGGCGAGAGGGCGGCCCGAGCCCGAGAGGGCCCGCCCTCGACCTTGCTCTACATGGTAACGGATAAGAAAAGAAACACCCCCGGACCGGGACGCCGGCGGTCGAGTCGGGACACGCTGTGGTTCAGACGTCCCCCCCCTCGACGCAGTCGAGTGACTGACATGAATAGGGAGGAGAAAGTGTCCCCCACATATCACCACAGACGCAGCACAGGGGCTCCAATCCTGTCCGCCGGGGCCTCGGCTAGATCTCCAGTGGGGAGTGCGAGGGCTGGATCGACTGCAGCGAGAGTGTGGGTTGTGGACCGTCCAGGGATAGCGTGTGGCATAGATGTTCTCCTGGAAGTAGAGAGGCTGATGTCTCTCGCCCTGCAGGAAGGAGAAACTCGGACGGGAGAGTGAAAACTCCTCCCTGCGGCATGTGCGCAGAACGGGTTGCGCAATGTGCGGCATCGTGTTGAGGGCTCGGGAGGGCAACGACGGCAGCGTTGCCGAGCTTGTACAGGGGCCTCAATCCTGTCCCCGATGGGGTGCGCCTCTCGCCGCGCGCGTAGCAGTCGGCGCGCGGGTAGCCTCAGAGATGCGCAGAGCGAGATGCGGTTATCAGCAAACCAAGCCCTGGGCTTGGATGGGCGCGGCGAAGCCGCGGCGCAGTGGATAGCGTGAAGAACTCGAGATCGCTGGGATCTTGAGCCGCCGCTACCACGTGCAAGCCCCGCAGAGGTGCGGGCGAGAGGGCGGCCCGAGCCCGAGAGGGCCCGCCCTCGACCTTGCTCTACATGGTAAGAAAAGAAACACCCCCGGACCGGGACGCCGGCGGTCGAGTCGGGACACGCTGTGGTTCAGACGGACCCTATCCAGTCAGTGCTCAAGTGCTCAAGTGCTCTATCCTTCAGCGACGCGGTGTGAACGTAAAAGTAAAAAGCACGGGTTCAGGAAGGAGAAAGACCGAGAGCGATATGCCATGTGAGCCTTGCTTTGTTTCCTTGGCCAGCTCAGAAAAAGTATTTAGACAAGACAACTCTCTCTCACAGCAGACAGGCTCGACACAGGTGCGAACTGGCGCGTGCTAGTACTATCACCGGCACACCACCGGAGCCGCAGAAAAAGTAACTTCCCAAATACGGCGGCCTTCCTTCTTGAGTGCCTCGCGCGAGACGCTGCACGGTGCTGCGCCGTCTGCTGCGCCGCCTGCGCCGCCCTTCCACATGGGGTGGCTCACGACGCTCTTCTCTCCTCAGCAGCGGGCGCTCGGCCTCGCTGTCCGGCGAGGAGACACGCGCGGTTTCTTGCGCGCACTCGACTCGGCGATGAGTGGCAAGCTCGGTGTCATGGGCGGTTTCCTCGACGGCACGGCCGCCTATGTCCTCTCGTTCACGTGGCACCAGCTGCTCTCCATCTACATCTTCAACCTCCACCCTCGCCCGTGGGGCGGTGGTGGAGAGCAAGCCTCGTCAATCGCGATGCTGCGCTTCGCGGCGGGTCTGTGCGTCGTCGCCGGGCTCGTCCAGCACCTCGCGCGCTCGTCTGTATGCGCGTCGCTGCCGGGCGCGGAGACGGTCCCGTCCATGACGGGCATGCTGGCCGGCTGGGCGGGTGGCGATACCTTTCTGCAGCTGTTTCGAGAGCTTCGCGCAGCGCGGCCCGAGCTCTGCGACATGCCGGCGGCGCTCAACGGGACAGCGGCAGCCGAAGCACTGGAGGCGCCGGACTGCACGCGGCTCAACCTCGCTCTGGCGGCGCTCGTGACGGTGGGCTCGACGCTGCTCATCACGCTGCTCAAGCCCTTCACGCAGTCGGTCGAGTGCGGCAGCGGGAGGCGGACTGCTGCGGCGAGGGCTGGGTCGAGGTAGCAGTGAATGAGGGAGAGAGTTTCATGGTAGGGTCGTCGACTGGCTCGAGGACTGGGTCGAGTCGATCTGGCAGCTGGTCTCCAAGGCGGCAGCCACTACGGTGATGGTCGTCTGGACGTCCGTCCTCACAAAGGCTAGACATTTCCTAGACACTTCCTAGACACTTCCTCGTCTGGACGTCCGTCCTCACAAAGGCGCGCAATCTCGGGCAATCTCGGGGAATCTCGGGTCACCTCGCATCTTCGGTGGTGGTCGGCCTGGGCATCGGTCCTCCACAAATCCGCGGCGAGCCCCTCTCCTCCTCCTCCTCCCCTCGCCCCAGGCCGCCCCTCCCCCTGCGCAGATGGAGCTGCACGGCGTCGAGCCCGACCAGGGCGGCGTGACGACCCGTATCTACATCTTTTGGGCAATCTCGATCACCGCGGTCGGGTCAGCGGTGGCGACTTGGCTGGAGGCGATGGAGGAGTACTTCGTCGCAGAGGGCGCGGAGGCGACGGCGGCGGCGGCGGCGGCGCGCGACGGCGAGCCGGAGCTGGGCGAGCGAGCGAACACGGCTCGCGTGGCGGCGCTGGAGATGAAGGCAAAGAAGGACGAGGCGCTGGTCGAGTTCTCCAACCTCGCGCAGGCCGAGAGGAGCCGAGAGGGGCCGAGAGGAGCCGAGATGAGCCGAGGTGGGCCGAGAGGGGCCGAGATGAGCCGTAGATGGGCCGAGAGTACCCGAGGCCACGTTGCAGCGATGGCCCACGCGTGCACATCTCCGATGCTCCTCTCCGCGACCCGCCCAGCCGCGCCCACAGGCCACGCTCGGGTGGGTAGCGGGCTGCGCGTGGACGGACGTCGTGTGCGACCTCGTCCCCACCCTGTACGCCAAGCCGACGCTGCACGTCGCGCTGCAGAACCTCGCCGTCACTCTCGCCCTCACCGCCGGATGCGTCCTCTGGCTCTGCCTTGTCGGCGGCGGCGACGGCGCCATCTCGAAGGCCGCGCCCAGTCAGAGAGGGCTCTCATCTCGGAAGATCTCGGGTGATCTCGGATGATCTCGGTCGATCTCGGCCTAGGACCGCGCCCAGTCAGAGAGGGCTTTCATCTCGGGCGCGATGGCCTTCTTTGTCGGATGGGGATGGGTGCCCGCTCTCCCCGCCCCCACCCCACCCCACCCCACCCCCTCTCTGCGGCCTTGAGGCTCTGTCGCGCCGCGGCAGGTCCTCGTCTTGCGCGACACGTTCGTCCCCTTTGGCTGGCTCATCGACGAGCAGGTGGAGTCGCTGGTCGCTCGAGGCGAGGGAGCGCAGCGCGCGCTGCGAGCTTGCGAGCGGTACTCTCTTGACGCCTCTAGCTGCCCGCAGGCGAGGAGGCGCAGCGCGCGGCGCCGCCGGGCGCCTCCTCCGTCTCTGCGGTGGCGGGTCGCTTCTTGGAACCTTCTTGGAACCTTCTTGGAACCTTCCTGCAGGCGCCTCCTCCGTCTCTGCGATGGCGGGTCGCTTCCTCGCCCGCGACGGGCAGGGCGCCACTCTCGCCGTGCTGCTCTTCGCTCCCGCCATGACGGTCCTCTTAGACATTTCCTAGACACTTCCTAGACACTTCCCGCGATGACGGTCCTCTTCGCCCCTCGCCGAGGCGATGCGCCTCCCCCCCTCCCCCCGCTCACCCTTGTCGGCTGTGCGCAGGTCCTCTTCTTCCTCGTCAAGGCGCGGCTGCTCCTAGACATTTCCTAGACACTTCCTAGACACTTCCTCGTCTTTCTCGTCAAGGCGCGGCTGCTCCTAGACATTTCCTAGACACTTCCTAGACACTTCCTCGTCTTCCTCGTCAAGGCGCGGCTGCTCCTAGACATTTCCTAGACACTTCCTAGACACTTCCTCGTCTTCCTCGTCAAGGCGCGGCTGCTCGAGCTGAGCCGGAGGTCGCGAGGCCTCGAGCAAACCTACTCCGAGCTCTCGCTCTCCTTCGCCGACTTCTCAACGAAGAGGCGTGGCGCGCCCGCACCGCCAGCAGCCCGCGGCTACAACCGCCTCTCTGACGCCGAGGCGCCGGCGATCGCCGCGGCCGCTGCTGCGAGGCCGCCGGCATTCGGCGCAGCGCCGGCGGCGCGGCCGCCGGCCGGGAAGGAGCGAACGAGAACGGCGGCCACGGCGTCTGCGCCACCTGCTGTGAAGCCCAAGCGCCGGTATGGCCTCGTGCCGCTTTCCGTGCGCGGATTCGGCGGCAAGAAGGGGAAGAGGTAGCTCTAGAGAAAGACGGCTAGATATAGACGGGTCGGCACCCAGATGATCATGGGTACTCATGCGCTGTGGCCGCTCTGTACACACGCATTGGACACAGACACATACATGAACATGATAGACACCTCACAACAGCGCAGCTTTCATGTCGGTGTCCATGTCCTATTATAACACAGACACACACACCGTGTGTGCGTGTAGCTCTACCTCTAGGTGTATAGCTCTACATTTGCACCACATGGTGCCACACAAAAGTCAAAAGCAATCACTTTTTAAACCGCCGTTTGCGTTTCGTCACACATTGTTTGCGAATTCCGGGGGGGAACGGGTGCTCGCATCAAATAATACAGAACTCTCAGAACTCTCGCGTTCTCCAGAACCACACACGCGCGGCCACTTCGCTTCCGCAAACCTCACCCAGACACTCTCACACGCTGCGATAAAGGCGCCTGAGACTGCCTCCCATCCCGCAACCGCACAGTGCACTTCTCTCGCCTCTTTGTTTGGACTTCCACGCCAGCAACGTTGGCTTCGGTTCCTTGTGCCGGCGGCTGCACTGGCTCACCCTCCGCCTTCAATTGATAGTCGAAGCATCGCTTAATGGTTGCGGCGGCAGCGGGAGCTGGCGCGAGAGCCACTCGACAGCAACGAGGACTGCGATGGAGATGGACGAAGCGCGCGCCGCCTGATTGTCCGGGGGAGAGCTCAATGTGATGCCGGCGTGCTCAATCCAGCTGGTGGGGGAGAGGCGGGTGGAGAGGCGGGTGGAGAGGCGGGTGGAGAGGCGGGGGGGGAGGCGGGGGGAGAGGCGGGGGGAGAGGCGGGGGGAGAGGCGGGGGGAGAGGCGGGGGGAGAAGCGGGGGGAGAGGCTCTCTGGCCGAAGCGCCTGCACGACAGCTGCGGCGCGCCGCAGCGATCCGGAGACGGAGCGAAGCAGCGCCTTTTTGCACAGCGAGCGCGGCCTCCCGGGAGGGGGCGGGCAGGGGACTGGGGAGGGCGGAGCGGGGGCAGGAAGGGGGCAAGGGAGGGGGCGGAGGTGGGTGAGCGCCTCCTCGCGCTCAAGAGCGGCACGCGCCGCGGCGTTGGCGCCGTTGCGCCACCCGCCGCGCGTCGCGGCGCGAAAGCCCTCTTCGAAGCCGCACGCGAGCGAGCGCAGACAGCGAGGCAGCACCGGCTTGAGGCAGAGAGCGTGCAGCAGCGCGCCACTCGCGACCATCGATGGGAGCCGCATCAAAGCAAAGAGCGCGGGCGGCACCGAGCTGCTGGCCGGCGGCGGCGGTGCAAGGCCGCGGGCGGCGGCGGGGGCGCCGAGCAGCGCGGGGAGTGTCGCGGCGGCGGTGGCGACTAGGCGCGAGAGGGATGTGTCGGCGAGGACGGCGAGGAGGGAGAGGTACGCGCCTACGGGACGTGTCCTGGACACGTCCTCGCCATGTGCTGGGCGGCGCGGGAGGAGCGAGAGGCGCGAGCCGAGAGTCCACAGAAACCAAAGGAACGGGGACAAGCCGCGGGCGAGGTGGAGGGCGAGGGAGGCGGCGAACCCGCCCACCCGCGCGCCGCCGACCGCCGCCGCCGCCGCCGCGGCCTCCGCCGCCTTGTCGGGGGAGTCCGCCTTGGTGCCCGCGGCCCCGCCCTTCGGCTTGTTTGGCTGGCCTGCAGGAAGGCTCCAAGAGGGTTCCAAGAAGGCTCCTCTGGGCCCCGCCCTCCGGCTTGTACGGCTGGCCCAAGGGCCCAAGGGCGCGCCTCGAGGGCCCAGGCTGCCGCTCGCCACAGCGCGAGCGGCGGAGGCGCCGAGCGCCCAGCCCAGCCGCGTGGCGAGGGCGCCGGGCGAGCGCACATCCGCGCGTGCCGACCGCTCGCCCAGCGCCGCCTCGAGCGCTCCGGATGCCGCGAGCGACGAAAGGGCCGCCGCCGCCGCCGCCTCTGGTCCCTGCGCGTGCGAGCCTGCGGCGCCGTCGCTGCCGCGGCGGGTGGGCTCGACCGGCACGCCCGACGCCGCATCCACCACCTCCACCTCATCGACCAAGGCCAGCCAGCTACCAGCCAGCCGGCTGCCACCGCCCTCCGCCTCGGCGGGGCGCTCAGGCGCGGCGGTGCGGTTGCCGGCGGCCGCCCGCAGCTGGCACACCTCCCTCTCCTCGTCGTCGAGAAGGAGGTCGACCACGACCGCCAGACGCACCCCCTCCCTCCCTCCCCGACTCGCCTCTGCCTCCGCCAGGCCCGCCTCCGCCCCGCCGGCCGCCTCGGCAGCCGGCCCTGCGACAGAGGGCCAGGCGAGCGCCGGCGGCCGGCTTGTCGGGCGGAGCCGGACCGTGTCTCCGACGCGAGGCACCTGGGTGAGGGAAGCTAGGTGAGGGGGCGCCGGCTGAGCCAGCTGAGCGGCTGTGCGCCCGCGTGGTGAGGGAGAGGGAGGAAAAGAGAGACGTGAGGCACCTGCTCCGCGGCCGTCACCCTCTCCATCTCGGAGAGGAGCCCTAACCCTAACCCTAACCCTAACCCTAACCTGCTCCGCGGCCGTCACCCTCTCCATCTCGGAGAGGAGCCCTAACCCTAACCCTAACCCTAACCCTAACCCTAACCTGCTCCGCGGCCGTCACCCTCTCCATCTCGGAGAGGAGCCCGCGCCAGCGGCGGCAGGCGGGGAAGTCCACGATGCACTCGTCGCCCGAGAACCTCAGGAGCGTGCCCACAGCGCCGCGCCGCACGCCGCCCCACTCATACCGCGGCCGGCTCACCTCGGCCCGGACGCGAACGCGATCTCCCGCCGACGGCTCCACCATCACGGCGGCCCCACTGGTGTCAGGCCCGCTCACATCGCGGCCGCCGAGCACTCTGCCCGAGCCAGCGCCCCTCCGCTCGGCCGTCGCACCACCGCTGCCCTCTCCCTCAGCCGGGGAGGCGAGGGCGACCACGCGAGACTCGAGCGTCTCCAGCAGCGACTTTAGCTCCCGGAGTGACGCTGCCGAGGCGCCCTCCGTGCCGCCGCCGCCGCCGCCGCCCTTGGCGCCACCGCGGAGCTTGACCAGCGCCGCTTGCTCGCCATGGCGTGCCAACGAGAACACCAGCCACCACATTCGGCGACTGTCTGGGACGGGAGGCGGAAGTCGAAAGCGCGCCGCAGCTGTGGGCGCGCTGGAGGTGTTTTTTTTGCTCGGCTAGTCCGAGCTGGCTGTGTGTCTTGTGAGCTTGTTTGTGTCTGTGTGTCGCTCGTGCGTGTCGTCATCATCTGTCTCGCGTCCACCCATACCGCGTTGGTGTCCAGTCCGAGCCTGGCTGTTCTTCGCCTTTCTACCTACCTACCTACGAGCCTGACTGTTCTTCACCTTCCTACCATACATAGACAGAACCTCACAGTCACGAGCACGACGTCGCACACAGACACACGCTGGCGATTTGGGAGGGGGGGGCATAACGTTTGCAAACACGATACAGGATCGAGGTGCAACACGCCGCGCGTGAGCTCCGTGAGCGTGACGAGGCGTGTGCCGTGTGTGTGGTCTGTGGAGAAGTGTACCTTACTTTTTACCTTACCTTAACTGTCGACAGGAACCGAAGGGCCGCCTTAGTCCTTTCTCCCACGGGGTCGCCCCGGGAAACGCGCCAGCTCCAGGGCGTCACGTCCGGCTTCACGTCCAGCTCGTCCGTCTCGATTCTCTCGAAGCGTCACCAGCGCGCCGCCCCCCCGCTGACCGAGACGAGGCGCCGCCAGTCCGCGGGGTCGCTCTCGCGCACCACGCCAAACGGCGCGAGCACCGCGCTCCAGTCGGCGGAGCTCACGACGCCTTGCCCCTTGGGGAATTTTGGGCCCGGGATCCCCTGGGCCCCAGCAGGTTGGGGGTCAGATTTTGGAGGCCCCCCCCCCCCCCCCCCCACCCCCCCACCCGCCCCACATCCAACGCGTGTCGCAAAGCGAGGCGTGCCCGCACACACAGGGCGATGCTACACGGCTGCGGCACGAGAGCGGCGCTCATGGAGCGAGACGTCGCTCCAGCCACTGGGGAACGCGTCTAGATCCTCACAAACTAGCTCGCCGGCACAAAACGCCACCCGGCTTGAGTGGGCGTCCAAGGTCACCGAAGCGGCTTCACTATGCTCCGCATTCCAACGCACCGAGTCGTACGAGACGCGCGGACGCTCGGTGAGCTGCTGCCTGCCGCCCGAAGCGGGAGCGACGCGCACGACGCGCAGCGGAGGCGCCCCCTCGTCCGCCTACGGCATCGACACGGGGTTCGCCACCGTGCTGTGCATCCAGAGCACCTGCGGGAAGTGCTCGGGCCGCCGTACCTTCTGCAACCTTCTCCTCTGAGTGTGGACTGTCTTCGGCAGCCGCATAGGCGGCGCAGCTAACCATGGCAGCTAGCCCGCAGGGGGAGCGGGAGGAAGGGGGGGGGCGGCACAGGGAGAGCGTTTTCGCACCATTTCATTTTGCCTGCCGCTGCGGCGTGCCTCCGCTCCATCGCCCTCTTTGCGATAGATCTGCTGAATAGCCCGTCCAGCGGGCAGAACTGGCCGTCCTCGCCACTCTGACGCCTCCCGCATCTAAGGCTCCTGCGCCGTCCGCGCGCACCGGATCGCCGTCTGCACCGCCAACTCGGCGAAGTCCTCCCGCGGCAGCACGCCGCCGCCGAATCCCGTCCCCTCGGCCGCCCCCTCGGCCGCCGCCCGCAGCGCCGCCGCCGCCTCTCTCGCGCGCGCGGCCCGCTCCCTCGCCGCCGCCGCCGCCTGCGGCGTAGCCGCGGCGTAGCCGCCGTCGCCGCCGCCATCCCCGCCGCCGCCGCCGCCGTCCGCAAAGGCGGGCGACGCGTCCCGGACAGCGAGCGGCCCCTCTAGCACGCCTACGGGGGGTGGCTGCCTGGCAGGCTCCTAGGACGGACCTAGCGCATGCCCTACGTCGACATGCCCCTCCAGCACACGCCTTCGTGGTCCTGGAGCTGGCCGCACGTCCAACCGGCCGTGCTGCGCAGCGCGATCCCGTCCTCGGGCGCCAGCAGCGTGAGGCGCAGCGCGCCGCTCCGCCCTGCGCCCTCGAGAAGCGCGCCGCTCTCCGCCGCCGCGTCGGAGTCGGCGAGCACGTAGCAATGCACGGCGCCGCGAGACTCTGCGACCTCGAGCAAGGCTGCGAGGTCGAGCGGAGGGGCGGCACCCGCCGCTCCGCCGAACGGACTGGGCAGGGAGGAGAAGGGGTTGGGGAACGGCAGCTGCAGGCCGGGTGCTGCGGAGCGTGGTTTCGTCGCGTCGATGAAGAGCAGGCATCCGTCGATCCGGCGAGTGTTTATGTACTCGAGGTCGAGCTGGTCGGCACCGGGCACGCTTGCCATGGCGAATTGCTGCCACAGCACGCCGCGCAGGCGGCCCTGGTCCGCGACGGCGGCGATGGGATCCTACAATCGCGAGAGTGCGGATCGGCGGCGATTTTTGTGCTTGGGTTGCTTGGCGATTGTTGCGGCTCCTTTGAGAGTCGCGTGCCCGGCAGCGTCGCCGCGCGCTGCAACTTGCCGTAGACTAAGTGGCCGGTGTCGCCCCCGGTGACGACGGCTCGCGGCTTGCCCAGCAACGGGCTGCGCGGCGCGGGCAGCACCGCGAGGGTGCCCAACATGGTGCCCACCACCAACATGCTGCCTGGTCGTTATTATAACCTACTCTCGTGAGCTGTGAACAGACGCACTTGACATTGGGGGCAAGTACCCAAATCCGCTAGGTTGGGCGTGCTTTCACAGCCTCACGAGAGTATATTATAACCCCGAAGGGTTATGGGGGGTTTACGAGGTGTGAAGCATGCCCTGCTGTGGAGCAGAGCCTGCTGGCGCACCGGCCGGCGATACTAACTCAGCGCGCCGCGAGAGGCGAATCTGGGCGACTTTGGAGGCGCAGTTCTCGAGGTTGCCGTCGACGATTGATGTCGGGTAAATTGTCACTCACTGCCGTCCGGGAACGTCTTCTCTCAGCAGGCCGAGCGCCGTGGCATCGCGCTGCTCGCAGCGCTGTCGCGGCGCCGAGAACCCCCAAAACTCGCGAGACCTCGATACTAACAAAGACTACGATACTGGGGGTAGCTCAGAGAAAGTTAGGTGAGAGGTGGGTGGGCAGGTGCGCGGCGTAAGCGCGAGGCGTGGCTCTGCCTCTGGCTGTGGTGTGTATGGCTCTGGTACGGGAACCTCGTTAAAATCCCTGTGTGGTGGCGGCGTGCCGTCCTCCCATCCCTCCCTTGGGTTGGCTGGTTTCTTTCTTTTACGGGAACCTCGATCGTCTCGCCCTCCCTCGCTGGTGTGTAAAGGGGGGGGGGGGGGGGCATAACAAACAAGGATCGAGGTGCAGAGACGTCGACGGTGATTGATGGCGGTGTGACCGATCGAGCTACAAGAGGAGCTTCTTGTTCAGCCGCTGAAGCCCTGGTCTGACAGCCTGACAGCAAACCCCAGACAGCGCCTGACAGTGCCCGACAGCCTGACAGCGCTGACAGCACTTTCTCTGACAGCCTGACAGCACGTATCTGACAGCCTGACAGTAGAGTCTGACAGTCGAGGTGACCCGTCGCTGTCAGGCCCTAACGTGACAGCCTGACAGCTGCCTGACAGCCCGACAGCACACAGTGGCCTGACAGCAGCGCTGACAGCCCGACAGCAGCACAGACCGTACAGAGACCCCGTAGAGCCTCTTTCTTGTGCCTAACTCTTCAGGGGCCCTACAGCCATATGCCTACGGCGTCTGGGTGGGGGTGGCCGCCGCCGTCTGTGCCGCCGCCGCCGCCTGCGCCTGCGCCGCCATCTGCGCTCCCCAGGCGGCCGCCGCCGCCGGCGTGATCACGCCGTAGGAGGCAGAGTAGAGGCTAGAGTATGTGTAGTAGAGTCCTGCTGGTCTCCTCCTGATAGTGTTATAAGTGTGGCTGGTGTGTGTCAGAGCCTGACAGCACCCCGATAGCACCACCTGACAGCACCCGACAGCAACAGCCCAACGTCTGACAGCAGCAGCAGCCTGACAGCTCCGACAGCTCCGACAGCGTCTGGCAGCAACACCCGACAGCTCCGACAGCACCCGACAGCTACAGATCACCTCGACTGTCAGACACGCACCCGACAGCACCTGACAGCACTGACAGCACCTGTGACAGCTGGTCTGACAGAGGCACCTGGCAGTGCCTGACAGCTGCCCGACAGACCGACAGATCACCTGAAGCACCTGACAGCCTGACAGCCAGGGCTCAGTTCAGCCGATGATCAGGGATAGTCGGATGCACTGCCTCACTGGGCCTGAGATCACCGCACTTCCCTGAGCGTCACAGCTCGGTGATCGCGCCGGCCGGACACCACTCTAGTGTCTAGACGGCCGTAGGTTCCGGGCATTTGAACGCGACCTTCGGGGGCGAAGACATGGGCTTTATGGCTCAGACTGGACTTGTCTTCTTCTTGGTCCCTTCTCTGTGATGCCCTAGGGCTAGGGCCTAGCGTAAAGCCGTAGGCCACACCTCTGGGCCTTACCCCTTATAGCCCTTACGTGGGGTCGCGGGGTGGGCGGTGGGGTTCTACTTCTAGGGGCCGGGCAGAGGTGGTTCGGTTCGTCCCCCTTTAAAGCGCTAAAGCGGGGCCCGAAGTGCGAAGAACCTTAAAGAGGTGCGACGCACACGCACGAGAACCATACCACGCCTCTCACCCTGGCTCACACGACACACCAAATCTGCACAGACCCCTTGGTGTCGGGAGCTCGGGGCAAACAGTCTCGGCGACGCTCTCTACCTCTCTTCGGCGGCCAAACGGCGCGGTGCGTGGATTGCCGCGAGCTATTGAGCTGCCTGCCGCCCGGCTTGGGCGCTCCATCACGCCGGCGGCGGCGCGCCCGAGCACAAAAGGCCGATCGCGGCGGAGAGCGTGCTGACCGCCGTCTCGTGGTCCCGGAACTGGAGTGCCGAGATGGCGGACTGGCAGAGCCCGATCGCCTACAAGCGATGCCACGCGGCGTCCGGACGCCCTCCCGAGGCGCCGCAGCTGCACCCGCCCGCCTCGCCTCCCGCGTCTGCGATGCCGTCGGCTTGAAGCCGCTCTGCAGCGGGGGCGGCGCTGCAAAATTGTACGGCGGCACCGGCGGCACCGAGCTGCCCGGCGTGCCTACACGGAGCGGCAGACAGCGGTCGGGTTCGGGGGCGGGCGCGAGACTGGTGCGGCGACGGCAAGCCGCCCGGCAGAGCGGAGGACCCGCGCGCACTCGGCGTTTCTAGAAGGGGGGGGGGGGGGAAGCACGGGAGGGGCCGATGGGTAGGGGCGGTGGCTTTAAGCGCTCTTGCGGCGGCGGCGCGGCGCACCCGGCAGGTTTGGGACCGGCGGGGGCGGCGGCAGCGCGTCGTAGCTCCCTCTCCCGGAGGGAGGCGCCTCGGGCAGCGAGAGGTACGAGGGCGGCGCGTCGCCTGGGCGGGGGGGGGGCACGAGGGGCGGAGGTCAGAGGCGCGGGGGAGGCGGCGCAGTGGCGGGCAGTCGAAGGCGGAGGCTTGCACCGGGCGGAGGCGGAGGCGGGTAGTCGGGTGGCGGCGGGTCCGGGTCGCCTGAGGCGGCGGCAGGAGCGCCTTGGGCGCGAGGGAGGGGGGAGGCGCCGCGGCGGCGGAGGTGGCGCGGGGTGGCGAGTTGCGGGCGACATCAGGCCGTGGCGGCGAGACTGCTGGCGGAGGCAGTGGTGGGCTGGGGCGAGGCGCGCCGACGGGGTCCGAAGAGGCGTCTGCTGCGACGGGGGGCTCGGTGCCGGGCGGCGGAGTGACTGGGCGACCCTCCTTCGTCGCCTTTGCAATCTTGACGAAGCGCACCTGCGGCGGGGCGAGAGGCAGAGTGGCGGCGGAGCAGAAAGAGACTTCAGCACGTGTGCGTGCGTGCGTGCGTGAGTGTGTGTGTGTGTGTGTGTGTGTGTGTGTGTGTGTGTGTGTGTGTGTGTGTGTGTGTGTGTGTGTGTGTGTGTGTGTGTGTGTGTGAGTGAGTGAGTGAGTGAGTGAGAGAGAGAGAGAGAGAGAGAGAGAGAGAGAGAGAGAGAGAGAGAGAGAGAGAGAGAGAGTGCATGAGAAAGAGAGAATGGCGTCAGAGCTGTTGCCACGTTTTGCTTGATCTTGTCTGATCTCGGCTGCATCTCGGCTCCGTCGCGCCTTTGCGTACTTGATCTTTTCCTCGAGGTCGAGCGGCAGCTCTCCAAACTGCTTGCACGCCTGCGGGAGGCAGCGGCCTCGGGCGCTGGGTTTGAGGCGCCGTTGCGGAGAGATGGCCGGTGGGCTGGAGAGGCGGTGGGCTGGAGAGGCGGTGGGCTGGAGAGGCGGTGGGCTGGAGAGGCGGTGGGCTGGAGAGGCGGTGGGCTGGAGAGGCGGTGGGCTGGAGAGGCGGTGGGCTGGAGAGGCGGTGGGCTGGAGAGGCGGTGGGCTGGAGAGGCGGTGGGCTGGAGAGGCGGTGGGCTGGAGAGGCGGTGGCTGGAGAGGCGGTGGGCTGGAGAGGCGGTGGGCTGGAGAGGCGGTGGGCTGGAGAGGCGGTGGGCTGGAGAGGCGGTGGGCTGGAGAGGCGGTGGGCTGGAGAGGCGGTGGGCTGGAGAGGCGGTGGGCTGGAGAGGCGGTGGGCTGGAGAGGCGGTGGGCTGGAGAGGCGGTGGGCTGGAGAGGCGGTGGGCTGGAGAGGCGGTGGGCTGGAGAGGCCTCGAGCACGTGGCAGGCCGCCAGGAAAGCCTGCCCAGGGAGGGGGGGGCGGCGAGGTTAGCGCTGGGGCTGGACGCGAGGGTGGCTGGCGGGTCACCTTGCCGGTGCGCATGTCCGACTTGCCCGCCCGGTCGGCATCGTCCGCCTGCAAAGCGTGGCGCGATGGTGGCGCGGCGGGTTGGCTGTGAGACAAGGCTGTGAGACAAGGGTTAGGGTTAAGGTTATCAAGCCGCCTTGAGGAAGAGCTCCTGACCGAAGTTCTCCACCACCGCGGCCGCGTCGTCGAGGTCGCCCAAGCCAGCCTTCTCCTGTTGTGCAAGGGTGCGATGGGCTGGGAACCGCTGCTGTCACGCCGGGGCACGCGGCAGGCGGCACTCCTTTTCGAGATCATCCATCAGCCCGAGAACATAAACCATGTCCTCCTTGGGCACCGTCGATCGCAGCCGCATCGCCTCCTACAGAGAGAGATACGGACAGGCGGGGTGGCGGTGAGGACGCGGATCTGTGCGCTGTCCAGCCGGCGCACCTGCAGCGCGTAGAGGCGGCAGTGGTAGGCGACGATCGGGTCCCGCGCCTTGATCTCCGAGCCGCGATCGAGATAGGGCTTGATGGCCTTGAGTGAGGCGGGTGGGGCTGCCATGAATGTTCACGTGTGGGCTGATGGCCGTCGATAGCAGCTCGCAGAGGAGCAACGGGCCGATTATAGAGCGCCGGCCGACGCCGAGGCGGCGAAAAGAATTAACTTCCGAATCACTCCATGCCCTAGTTTCGCACGACTGCGCACAGGCCAAGCGTGGTTCACCGTGGACCGTAGGATAGTGCCGGCAGACGGAGACGACAAACAACTCTCTCCTCTCCCGAGTGCCGAGACGCGAGAAAGTAGCGTGTACAGTTGACGGGTTGTTTTCTGGTGGCAAGACCGCGTTCTAACTTCTATTTACAATTTAGGCTTTTGGGGGCCTACTCCGACTCGCACTCACTGTCATCACTCTCGCTCACACAAAACACTCCACGTATAGAAATCCCCCTCTCTGTCACGCACCTCCGTCCTTAGCTCGCTCCTTGGCGGCGCGGAGCGACGCGAGGTACGCCCCGAGCGCCGCCTGCGTGTCCGGCTGGCTGACGTTGTGGATGAACTCGTCGAGGTCCTCCGACTGCGCCTCGCGGAGCGCGGTGGCGGCGGGCGTGCGCAGCTGCCGCTTGAGCGCGACGCGCCTGCGCCGGGTGGGGCGTGCGGCGGGGCGTGCGTGAGTGAGGGCGGTGCGAGGGCGCGGCTGCGCGTCGGGGCGCGTCGCCCGCTCTCTGGGAGGGCGAGCAGCTCTGCCAGCTTGCGTGTCGCCGCGTTGGAGAGGCCGGAGAGGGGAGCCACCTGCAGAGGGGAGGCACGAGCCTGGTTGGGCGGCGGCCTGGGTGGGTCTCCCTGCCCCTCCGAAGAGAGGATGGAGGCGCGCACCTCGTCCACGAGCCCGAGCTCCGCCGCCTCCGCCGGGCGCAGCAGCTCGCCGAGCACCAGCAGCCTCTCCCCGCGCGAGGCGCCCACCCTGCCCAGCAGCATCGACGAGAGCCAGGGCGGCGGGGCTATCCCGAGCTGCGCCTGAGGCGCGGGCGGGGCGGGCGCTCTGTGCGGCGCCTCGGCGAGCGGCGGGCGGCGCCGCCGCGCCTCGTTGAGGCCGATGCCGTAGGAGCCCTCGACCATGACGCGGGCGTCGCAGGCCAGCGCGACCATGCAGCCTCCCGCGGGACAGTGGCCCGAGATGGCGGCGACGGTGGCGAGGTCGCTCGTCCAGAGCGCCAGCCACAGCTCCTGCACCGCCGTCCAGTAGTCGGCGAGGGCGTCGGGGTCGGGCTTGTGGAACGCGTGCAGGTCGAGGCCGGCCGAGAAGAGGCCGGGGAGCGCCGACCCGAGGAGGAGGCCTCGCACCTGCGGGTCGGCCTCCAGCTCGCCGAGGCACTGCCGCAGCTCCTCGCACACGCCTTGGGTCAGGGCGTTGACGGGACGGTGGTTCAGCGACACCGAGGCCATGCCGTCGGCCTTGCTCACGATGAGGGCCGACTTGGCGAGAGGCTGGGCCGCGGCGGAGCTCGCGAGCGAGCGGGCACGAAAACGTGTGGACGACACGCGTGTGAAGCGACCGCATCGAGGGCCGAACGTGCGAGGGCGTTGCCGGACCAGCATTCTTGCCCGGTTGGAGAAAAAGAATTCCGCGACGCCAGCAAGAGATAGAAAGAGGCAGACGCCCAAGGGTTAGGGTGGGCGACGGCTAGCACCACACTCCTCTCCTTAAAATCCCTGTGTGGTGGCGGCATGCCGTCCTCCCATCTCCCTCCTGCCTCCCTGGGCCTGGCGCCTTGGGGTTGTGTCTGTTACTGTTTTCAAAACTTTCTTTCTTTTGGGCACGGGACTGGCGCGCACTGGCACTAACACGAAAAAGAAAGCGGTGTGCCGAAAGAATACGGAGAAAGAAAACAAACGCAATAGGACACGATCTTCATCAGCTCCTCGTTCTCGCGCGTTGCTCCCCCGCCTCACCCCCGCTTCCTCCGCAGCTCGCCGCCTCCCCGTCCTCGGCGGCGGGTGGCGGGCTGCGGACCTCGTCGGCGAGGAGCAGGCAGAAGCCGATCGCGATGCCAGCGATGCCGACCGCCGCGGCGGGCGACGGCGGAGGCGCGTGCAGCAGCGACGCGAGCACGAGGGCGAGGGGCGTCGAGAGGAGGGTCCCGATCGAGATGAAGAGGGGGTGGGTGAGCGAGAGGCCGAGGGCGATGAGGAGGTTGAAGGCGACGTCGGCGGCGGCCCGGCCGGCGAGGAGCAGGGCGCCTCCCCCTCCGGCCGACGCGAGGTCGGAGGGCCAGCTCGGCTGGAGGGCGGAGAGGAGGGCCGTGCCGCACACGAGGCCATACCTGCGGGGAGGCTCCTCGAAGGCTCAGAGGAGCCTCCGGCAGGGCCTAGCAGAGCACACGCGGCGCCGCACCCTCCGAGCGGCACGAGGACGAGGAGCTCACTACAGAGCTAAGACAAGTGCTCTGCTACCAGAGGCCCGCACCCTCCGAGCGGCACGAGGACGAGGAGCTCACTACAGAGCTAAGACAAGTGCTCTGCTACCAGAGGCCCGCACCCTCCGAGCGGCACGAGGACGAGGAGCTCACTACAGAGCTAAGACAAGTGCTCTGCTACCAGAGGCCCGCACCCTCCGAGCGGCACGAGGACGAGGAGCTCACTACAGAGCTAAGACAAGTGCTCTGCTACCAGAGGCCCGCACCCTCCGAGCGGCACGAGGACGAGGAGCTCACTACAGAGCTAAGACAAGTGCTCTGCTACCAGAGGCCCGCACCCTCCGAGCGGCACGAGGACGAGGAGCTCACTACAGAGCTAAGACAAGTGCTCTGCTACCAGAGGCCCGCACCCTCCGAGCGGCACGAGGACGAGGAGCTCACTACAGAGCTAAGACAAGTGCTCTGCTACCAGAGGCCCGCACCCTCCGAGCGGCACGAGGACGAGGAGCTCACTACAGAGCTAAGACAAGTGCTCTGCTACCAGAGGCCCGCACCCTCCGAGCGTCACGAGGAAGAAGAGCAGCGCCGGAGGAGGGACGTCGCCAAACAGCCTGCGGAAGAGGACCTTGTACAGCGCCGCGCAGCCCGCCGCGCCAGCCACGCTCGCCGCGGCCACGCTCGCCGCGCCCAGCCCCGCCGCGCCGCCCTCCCCTGATGCTGCTTCAGCGGAGGTGCTATTCAGCGAAGATGCCCGCCCGCCCGCTGCCCACGGCTGCGCGACGAGGACCACGCCAACCGTCGAGCAGGCGACGGCGGCGACGGCGAGCGCGCGCAGCGGGCGGCCGAGCAGTGGGACGGACAGGAGCGCCACGAGGGCGGGCGTGGTCGAGAAGATTGAGACGACGAGCGGCGGCGAGAGCGAGGCCAGCGCGGCAATGTAGAGGCCGTTTGCACCCAGATAGAGCACAAAGAAGGGCGCGACGGCGAGGGCGAGCTGGCGAGGCCGCGCATCCCACGCGCCGAGGAGCGGCTTGGCGCCGCCCCTCGCGCGAGCGCGCCAGGCGAGGAGCGGCGCGCCGAGAAGGAGGTTGGAGCACGTGGACGCCCAAAGGAGCAGGGGCGTGGTGAGGCGCTCCGAATGCCGGAGGCACTCGGTCGTCAGCTGCGTCGCCGTCACATGCGCAGCAGCAATGCCGACCACGACGAGGAGGACCGGGCGCAGGTCGCCCACATCGCGCAGCCGCTGTGCACAGGCCCCGCGCAAGCCGCGGCGGGACTGGGCGATGAGCGGGCCCTGCGGAGGGGGCTCTCTGCACATCGGAGCGCTGACGGCAATAATTCCACCGCCCTCCTCCGGCACAACCGGTTAGTGGCACGGCACCCGCGGCGCTCGTGTGCTCGCGACGTGCCGCGCGGCGCGTCGGTCGCGATCTACGCGCCGCCGCCGCGCCGCCGCCGCTGCGCCTGGCACTTACAACAAGCGAAGTGGTTTTGTTGTTTAGGGGGTAGGGAGGCCATGCCCCCCGACCCCCTACCCCCCTACCTCCTCAAATGAGCATGTAACGGACGTCCCCAGTGGTGGCCAACCCCCCTACCCCCTACCCCCTAGGAATCCTACCCCAAACCCGGGACCCTACCCCTACCCTACCCCCCAAACAGCTGTTCTCTCGTTGTCTGTCCTCCTCTTGCTCGGAATAAAAAGGCAGCGGCTTCGCACGTCCGTCCGCCGTCAGATCGTAGTCACATCTCTCGCTGATTAGTGCGACTCGTCCGTCCTCTCCTCTCCCTTCGGGCCTTCGTGTCTTCGCGCGGCGCCGCCCCGCAAGCCATGACGGACCTCAAGGCGAGCGCCATGATCCAGATGACGGACTTCAAGGAGAACTTCATGGCGCGAGCAAAGGAGATCGTCGCCAAGGCCAAGGAGCGCCTCGAGGAGTCGGCCAGCGTGCCCCCCGCCGGGGATTGGCGGCTTTCTCAGGCCGACCGCTTGCTTGCGGAAAGGCCCTCGCCGCTGATGCGGGTGGAGAGGTTTTGGCGCGACAGCGGGCTGCAGAAGATCTGGCTCAGCATCGTGACCTGCAACAGCGACGGGCGGCTGGAGCAGGCGAGGCGGAAATGGGAGGAGGCCTCCTCGCGCCAGACGGAGCAGGCAGTCGCAGCAGCGCTTGAGCAGGCCGAGGGCGAGAAGCGCCGGGCGATCTCGGATGCGCTCGCCGGCAGCAAGGCGCAGCAGGCCAAATCCGTCTCCGAAGCCATCAAGAGCGCCCGTGTCGAGGCCGAGGCCCAGCAGCGGTCGCTGCACAAGGACCTGACAGAGGCCAGGTCGTCCAAGGATGCGGCGGTCAAACAGGCAATCGCGGATGCCGAGGCGGAGAAGGAGCGGCTGCGAGCGGAGGCGCGGGCGGCGGAGGCCAAATCGACAACCTCCGTCATGGAGGCACTCGCCGAGGCCGAGGCGAGGCAGGCCCGGGCGGTGTCGCTCGCGGTCTCTGCGGCGACCAGGGCGAGCACAAACAAGTCGCTTGAGGAGGAAAAGACAGCGATTCTGACGGAGGCGCGCCGCGAGGCTCTGGCCTTGCAGGCAAAAGCGATCGCCGACGAGCGCGAGAAGGCCAAGCAGGAGCAGGCCAAGGCGGTGTGGGCGGCGCTCGCCGAGGCCAAGCAGGAGAAGGCCAGGGCGGTGAACGATGCGATAGAGCAGGGGAAGAGGTTGAGTCTGCGGGGCGAGGACCGCACCAGCTCGAGCGAGCAGCTCGTCGCCGCCGCGCGCGAGGAGGAGCGGCGGAAGATGGAGGCAGCCATAGCCGAGAGGCTATCCGCAGAGCAGAGGAAATCGGAGAGAAAATCCGAGGCGGCTGCGAGAGCCGCGGCCGAGGCGGCGGCCGCTGCGGCTGCGGAGGAGGAGCGGAGGAAGGCGGCAGCCGCGATCGAGGAGGCGAAGCGCGAGGCAGCGGAGGCCGAGCGGGCAAAGGCGGAGGACGACAAGGCCGCGGCGGTGCAGGCAGCGGTGTCCGAGCTAACGGCCGCCGCCAGGGCGGAGATAAATGTGCGGCTTGAGGCGGCGCAAGCGGAGGCTGAGGAGCGCCGGAGCGCCTCCGTCGCAGAAGAGGTGGCGGCTGCGCTGGCGGAGGCAAAGGCGCAGGCGGCAGAGGACAAGGCTGCCGCAGTGAGGGAGGCGATAGCGACGGTCAAGGCGGCGATGGAGGACGAGTCTGCGGACGATGGCAGCTCTTCGGACGAAGAGAGGATCGACTTCGACGTATTCGAGCCGGTGGATAGCGAGCCGTTGGCCGCCCGCGGACAAGACTTCATCGATGGCGTGGGGGCGCTGCTGAGCGAGAGCAAGGCGAAGGCTGCTGGAGAGGTGCCCGCTAGCCATCCTCCGACGACCGACAGCAGCCTCGTCGCGTAAGACTTAGTCGGACGACTCTCGCCAGCAACACACTTTGCACCCCTGCACCACTGGCCGAGGCTCCTTGCCGCCCTCGTTAGACTTGCGTCAGATGCCCGCGCTGCCTGTGAGGTCACACATGTCATTGTGCGGGTCTTTGGGTCACTCTGTGGACACGTAAGCCTGGCCCCTTCGCCGGTGAAGATGATGCGATGTGGAGTGTCATCCTGGTCGCTGTTGTTCCCCCAGCTTTTTCACGTGTTGAGTATAGACAGTGGTCGCACAGATTACAAGCTGATACAGCAAGCTAGCGCGAAGCCATATCGCGTAAGGAACTGGAGAGATAAGAAGTAACTCTGAGCTCCCTCCGCGTACGCTACGCTCCCTTCGGAGAGAGCCCCAGAGTTCTTCCGCGCTCCGGATCCTCTTTAGCCCACCTCTGAGAGTTTGGAGTGACTGGCTAGAGACGACGACGACGATACAGTTCATTTTGGGCAACCCGACTCTCTCAATCAGCGGGAGCGAAATTTTACCAAGTGGGACGCACGTTTCGCGCCGTTCTTGTTTAGGGCGTGAGTGCTGTGCGAGGTGGCCCTGCTCTCGACGGCGCCCGCGCCTGCTGCCTCGGCAGCTCCGCCTGACGTGAGTCACATGGACGACAAGACACAAGATCGTAGCCTGCACGTGGTGCTGGCCAGCCTGCTTGGCGGCGGCAAGGCCCACGCAGGGCGATACATCCACCAGCAGCCGATGCTCACGCTGGAGCGGCATACGGGCGTATACGCGCGCCAAGGTCGAGGTGACGGTGCTGTGGCAGGTGGGCACCTCCGCAAATGCGAGCCACCAGCGCGTCCATGACGCGCTCCGCGCTGCGCGACGCTTCTCGCAACACGTCATCATCTACTACGGGTTCCTGCGTAGCTACGATGAGAACCGCAGGCTGGTGCAGCAGCTCCGTGCTCCGAACGTGCGCATCGTGCAATACCAGACCGAGCCCTTGGAAGCGGCCACTGCGTGCAAGCTGGCGCGCCGCAACATGGACAAGTGCTGGGTCGCCGGCGTGGCCCAGGGCTCGCACGATGTCTGGGACTATTCGCCAGGCAACCTGCGCAACCTCCGCGCCGCGGTTGGCAAGCGCACGCGCCGCACGTTTCGCTACGTGCCTCTCGGCGCGTTACCCGACGAAGCTGCGCGGCCACAGGCCGTCCACACGGCCGAGCGGCCCCGGCTGACTTTCTTTGGGCAGACCAAATGGTACCCGTCGCGACGCGCGCTGTGGAGCAACATCACGCGTGCCCTCGGTGAGCGTGCGCAGCTCGTCTACTACGCCTTCGACGACACGCAGTTTGCGCGGCTGATCACCGACGGGTGGGCTGGGCCCGATAAGAGTCGCGAGAGCGTGCCGCCCAGCTCCATCTTTCTCAACATGCACAAGCACGCGCCCGAGTACGGTGCGGCCCCGGTCACGTTTCGCGCCGCCAAGCTGCTCGACGCGGGCGCGCTCATCATCTCCGTCCGCTGCCACCCCGAGGACGAGTCCGAATTCCACGGGCTCGTCGATTTCGTCGATGAAGCTGACGTGGTGCCCGCCTTTACCCGGCTCGCCGACCTGAGCAACGTGTCTCGTCACGCTCTGGCCGCGAGGCGGCGCGCGATGTTCCGCCGGCGCTTCACGCCGCGGAAAATCTTCGAGCGCGCAGGGATATACGCTTGGTTTGACACACTCCTGCGTCCTGGGCGCTCCGACCCCGGCGCGCCAACCTGATGACTTCACCCAGTGTCCCGTTTTATCACCGCGGTATTGCTGTAGCTCTGCGACGACCAGCGGTAAGCAAGGGTGCTGTGGCACAGTCGGGTCCTAGATCGTCGAGAAACATGGAATTTGCGTCGACGTAGATGCCACCCTCGGCGCGCAGAATGTGCATGCGCGCTATGTCAGCAGCACCGGGATTCCTGGGATTTCTCTGCCCAGTCCGGGGGTGCGTCGAACCTTCCATCACCCTGGGAACGTCCGGGTGTTGGAAGTAAAGATATATTACTTTTTTTGTCAGCAGCACCGGGCGATCTCTTCACGCTGGCCATGAAGTCGCCGTATCGCTCATCGCGACGCTTTAGCCGACCGGAGGCGTTACGTTTCGAGAGCTCAATTTCGCCTCGTCCACACGTGAAGAGCAGTCCGTGTGTCTCTCTGGGTTGCGAGGAAGCTGCGGACCAGCACGTCCATCAAGCCGTTGCGCATGTCTAGGGTACCGAAACTCACCCCCCCCCCCCCCCAGCACGTTCACATTTTCCTACCAACCAGCGCGATCCGACTGTACATAGCGCAAGCTCCCGAAGACGCCCGCATACTCACGCCACTCTAATAAGGCCGACGCGGTGCAGATGCTCAAGGGCGCGATGATGCAGACCGACGTGCCGACCAGGGTCCAGCTGCAGGGCATGTGCACTAGGCTGGAAGCAGGCGCGGCATGACCGGGCGTCCGTCCGGCGGGTCACCTATCTCGTCGAGAGGCGACGGACGGACGCCTCGAGTCGGCGAGTTATGAAATAGCGGGTCACGCCGAGGCGCGGTCGACGAGCCCGCAATCCGTGTAGAAGATCAGCAGCTTGGCTAGGACGTAGGAGAGACACAAACAAGCTCATGAGCGCGCGTTCGAGGGATGTCATGAAGCAGCTCACGGGCAGACACACGCACATCACACAGGTCAGCGGCGTGCGGGCGCACCCCCCACGACCCCCCACGTGCACATATTAACGTTGAGCGCCGCCGCCGGGCGCGCGCGTGGGGTAAAATAATGTAAAAAGTAACCTTCTCCATCGGGGCTCCCATCGTCACGTCGGCACCGCAGCAGTCATTTTCAGTCATTCAGCGCTCATCGAGCGCGTCCCGGTGCGCCGACTGGGTGGAAGCAGGCTGGAGCACCTGCAACTGAACGAATCGACGATCTCCTGTCTACTGGATTGCTGCTTGCCGAGAAAACGTGCGCGAAGACACGGACGCTCTCTCACTCGTCACACGAAGTGAGTGGTCGTCCGGCGGACGAAGAAACATCTCACCACTAAAATGTTACAAATTAGCGTATAGAAACTAGAATTAGCGCTGGAAAAAAATCTGACGAGCATAATGTGGGAATCCGTCCGTGCCTTTTGCTTTATTAGGTTCACGTGCACGTTGGTGTGTGCAAGTGCTAGTACTGGCCATACGGGAACAGATCTCTGCGGCAAGCATGGCCGTAATCCACCACGGCCTCGACCACGAGCCCTCGCCTTGCCATGCTTGGCGCGCCATTTGTGCACAGAACGGCGACTAGAGCATCGCGAGCCGGGAGCGCGTGGGCAGCATTCGTGCTTGCGGCCCAAGTGGCGATCGCGTCGGCCTGTGCCCACCCCGGCAGCTCGAGGCAGAGAGCGAAAGCCTCGCCGATCCTGGGCAAAGCGTGCCGCGGCGCGCCCCGAGCTGCGGCCAGGAGCAGCGCGTGCATGAGGCGCGCCGCGTCCCCGCATAGGAGGGCGCTCAAAGTCCTTGCGGCCGCGGCCTCGTCCGCACCGCTGCATCCGCGTGCCATGGAGAGCACCAGCGCGACGGACGCGACGGCCGTGGCCTCCCCCGGCTCGGCCGACGAGAGCAAGTGGCAGGCAACAGCGAGGAGCTCGCCCAAGGAGCGAGCGTGCGGCACCGCGAGAGGCTGTAGGTGGACTGCACGCGCCGCGAGGGACATGACGGCCTCGCAAAGCGGCGCGCGCTCTACTTCACAGAGCAAACGGTGCGACGTGGCCACCGCCTCATCAATCACTCCCGCGAAGACGACAGCTGCCGCCGGGTCGTCTGAAGCGGCTGCCGCGAGGGTGGAAGCGACGAGCGACGTGCATGGCAGCAACACCGCGCAAGAAGTCCGAGCGTCGATTTCGGCAGCGGCGGCGGCACGCATCGCCTCGACGACGGCCGCGGTGGTCGCCTCCACCAGCGGTCGGAAGGACCCACGCTCGGCGCTCCACACGCACGCGGTCGCGAGCGAGCATGTCGCGTCGACGGCCGGATCGGGCTCTCCGTCGCCTTCGGCATCGACTGTGGAAAGTGCCGACCGCCACGCGAGCCGGAACGCGCGGCCCCAGAGCGGCCACAACTGCTGCAGAAAGGCCTCGCCGATGCCTCCCAGCTCGCTGAACTGACCCGCCAGCTGATGGGGCCCGAGCGGCCGCAGCGCAGCAGCGAGAACCGCACACGTCTCGACGAGCGTCCAGCGGTCTGCAGCTCCCCTCTCGAGTGCGTTGACGAGCAGCGACAGCTGATTCGCCACCGGCGACAGCAGCGCGACGAGTGGCTGCGGCGGCGGCGCCGCGGCGACGACGAGCGCGGCAGCTTGCAGCAGCCGCAGCCTCAACTCGGGCGTCATCCCGCTCGCGCCAGCCGCGGCGCCGTCGCACATCGCGGGCCGCTGCGCCGCTGCGAGGATGCCCTCGAGCGCATGGCCGTCCGCGGCGATGGTGGCGGCGGCCCCGATTGCAACTGCGTGCAACGCCTCTGCGGCAGCCTCGACAGCAAAGTCCGACGCGTGGCGCGTGGCGTGTGCCAGAGCGGCGACGACAGGGCGAACGGCACCGGGCCTCGAGTTGAGCCATCCGCTGTGCTCGCCGAGCAGCCGGCAGCGCGCCGCGAGGAGGAGCGCCTCCGCTCCAACGGCGCCCGCCCACGCGCCTGCGCCCGGCGGTGCGGCGCGCGAGGAGGTCGTGTCGCGAGTGCACGCGAGCAGAGCCTCGAACGGCGCGCCGAGGGCAGCCTCGAGCAGCTCCGCCACGGCCGCCTCGGCGGAGGTTGGCTCTGCGCTCCGCTCTGCGCCGACGATCGGAGGCATGGGCGGTGGCACCAAGTGCGCCGTCACTGCGGCGGCCCACAACGCCACTTCGGCCGCCCGCCACGAGCTTCTGGCCCGATGATCGCCGCCAGCGACGGCGTCCGCCGCGCCGCGAAGCGCCACGAGGGCTTGCGCAGGCACCGTGGCGGAGTCGAGCTCCGCGGCGGCGCAGAGGGCGGGCGCGAGCAAGGCGCGGAGCTGCGTCGTCGGGCCCACGCCGCGGACCAGCAGGACGCCGTCCTCGCTCCTCGCGGGGGGCAACGTGGCGCGCGCACAAGCGGCTGCGGCGAGAGCGTGCCGCAGCGACGCCGCTTCGGCGGGCCACGCGGCGGCGGCGGCGGCGAGAGGGGGGCCGAAGGGCTCGGTGGCGAGGAGAGCCTCGGTTGCGGCACGGCCACCGTGCGAGAGGCACGCGACGAGGCGCGAGAGCAACGCGCGGCCGATGTGCCAGACGCCGGCGAGGGCCGACACGCCGTCGTCGCGTCCCTGCAGCGCCGCGCCGCCGCGCCGCACGCTGTCGAGAAGCGAGGCGAGGGCCTCGTCGCTGGACGCAGCGGCGGCGGCGGCGGCGGCGGTGGGGGCGGGGCCGAGGAGGGTCGCTGCTCCGTCGCGCAGGAGCATGGCCACAGTCCGCAGCAGCGACATCTGCGCCAGCGCGCCCTCGCTGTCGCCCTCGTCATCCTCGTCGTCCTCGCCGTCCGCCTCGGCCTCCTGCCGGCCCGCCGCTGCCGCGGCCGCGTCGACCCGCCGCCACGTCGGCTGGAGCGCCGCGTGCAGCGCCGCCGCCAGGGGGCACAGCTCGACCGCCGACAGGTACATGTACCCTCCGCACCCGTCGCGAGGCTCCGCCTCGACCGCCGCCTCGAGCAGCTCCGCCGCAGCGAGCGCCTCGCTCGAGTGAGCCGCGCCGCCGCTCGAGCCGCCGGGGCTGGCCCCGCCAGAGGAGGCGAGCAGCCTCAGGAGGGGGACAAACACGGGCGTCTCGGCGAGGATCGCCACGGTTACCGCCTCCGCCGCCGGCACGGACGCCCACGCCGAGAGCGCGCCCAGCGCCGCCGAGCGCGCGGCGGGCGAGGCGAGCGCAGGCGCGGCGTTGGCGGGGACAGCGGCGGGTGGCGGGCGGCTCGGCTCGAAGGCGTGGGCGAGGCAGCGCAGGAGCAGGGCCTGCACCGCCTGCACCTCGGCCTCCCTCACCTCGCCCTCCGCCGCCTCCTCTGCAACGAGGCCCACCAGCTCCAGCGCGCTGGCCGCCGGCAGCCCGGCGACGAGCGCCTCGTGCAGCAGCGCGGGAGTGTCGTGCTCGGTGGCCGGCCGCCCGCTGGGCGCCGAGGCCAGCGTGGCCACGGCACGGCAGAGCTTTGCGCGCAGGCGGACGTCGCAGCCTGCGGCCGCCGCCAGCCTCAGCAGCTCTGCCCGCAAGCCTGCCGCGGCTGCCGGCGAGAGCGCCGCCGCTCCCCCGCGACGGCACTTGTTGTAGAGGACGGCGGCCCCGAAGAGGCGAAGCTCGGACGCGGTGCCAGCCTGCAGCGGGGGGCGGTGCCCGGTGGTGAACGCGTGTGGGGTGGTGCGGTGGCAGTGGCGGCGGCGGCGTTGCCTGAGCAAGCGCGAGCGCCGCCTCCCACGAAGCCTGCGACTGCTGCCACTCTGTGAGCCAGCGGTCGGCCTCGCGGCGGAGCGCCGCGTCGGACGTGCTCCAGAGGGTGTGGCAGGCGCGCTCCACGTCGGATGCTAGTACGCCCATGCGGCTTGGCGAGATGCCGTTCAAGATGAGCGCGCGCAGCGCCTACTCGAGTGCACCACCCTTCACAGCCTTTTTTTTCATTACCTCCTACCCTCACGCGTTCGCCCCTGTCGTCTGTTGTGTTGTTGTGCCCTTGTTTGTTCCTTCGGCACGTTGGCTGGGGGAGGCGACAGGGGGGGGGCGCGGCCTTGAGTTATGTGTACGCCAACTCAGGGTGTGTGGCAGCCAGCTGGCTGTGTGTCTTGTGAGCTTGTTTGTGTCTGTGTGTTGCTCGTGCGTGTCGTCATCATCTGTCCCGCGTCCACCCATACCGCTTTGGTGTCCAGTCCGAGCCTGACTGTTGTTCATCTTTCTACATACATACATACCTCCTATTCACAGACCTTGTTATGGGAAGAAAATACGTCCTATGGCGCTTTGCACTGGTCTATGAGAGGTTGAGGTGCGAGCCCTGGAGGCCCTGGGGATGGGGGGAGTCTACCCGCGGGCCTAGAAGGCCCGCGCGCAGGGGGGTGGGACATTGAGATTGAAGGCGGAGGTGGAGGCGGCGGAGGCTCGGCGAGGGCGACAGCAAGAGTCGAACGGGCGGCGCCTGACTCAAAAGACACAGCCGCATTCCTGAGACGCGCGAGGGCAGCCTCCTTAAAAGCAATGGGGTCTAGATTTGGAGCGCTCGCCGAAGAGGAGTACGACAAAATAGCGCCCGTGATTGCCTGCACGCTGCCCGCACTCACGGACTCCATACCCGAAAGAAAGAGAGGGGAGCTTGCAGGAGAGGTGACGAGTGAACTACAGGTAGTGGGGAAGGCAGCCTCGATCGCCATACAGACATGGGTGCGAAACAACGACAAGACCAAGGCACGGGCGGAGGAGCGAGAGAAGAATATAGGGTGGATAAAGCGCCTGTTCACGGCATGGAGGGTGAGCCACACCGAACGTACCGAACGTAGAGCCGAACGGAAGGAAGCCGAGGAGAAACTCCGCAGAGCCCGAAGACATCCCGGATCGAGGGGGGGGGGGGGGTGGGGTAGGCACGTGCTAGCACGTGCCTGCTGAGCCGAGTGCAGGCGGCGGCCTGCCAAGCGAAGGGAAAGGGGCGGTCCGAAAAAAACAACGAAGGCGCTCTCAAAAAAAACAAAAAAACAAACGAAGTCTAGCTCCAAAAAACAAAAAAACCGTGGTTCTCTGCCAGCCAGGCCCTGCGGCTCTGGGAGTCTCACTCAGCTGGTTTTCACTGAGGCATACACGTATATGCTGATCGACGACGAGGACGAGGCCGAGTGGCTCGAGGCGGACAGGGAGCGGGCGCTCCGCGACGAGGAGCTCGCTCAGGCGGACGCGGCGGCTCGCTCGGCGGACCTGCCCGCGGCGGCGGCGGCGGCTGCAGAGGCAGAGGCGAGGGCGGCAGAGACGCGGGTCGAGCTGACGCCGGAGGGCGCCTCGATGCTGCCGCTGATGCGGGACCTCATCGCCGCCTACGAGAAGGGCGGTGTCGGCGAGGCTGCTGGGCAGATGCGGCTCATCGACATCCGGTTTGGCCTGCTCAAGAAAGCGGTGGCGGCCGCCGTCGCGAGACGAGACGGCGAGGAGGAGGACGCGGGCGCGGCCAGCGAAACGTGATCTTTACTTTCTTGTAGCGTGTGCGTCAGTCTGTTTCTCTGACCACGGTCCCCCGGAAGAGACGACACCCCCGGAAAAGACGCGACACACGCGCGAAGACGACACGAATGACGAAAGCGTGTACCAGCAACCAGGGCGCAGGGGGATGCTGCGCCAGGGTAAAACATCAGCGCTCTGCCGTCTAACCAGTGCGGAGAAAGCCTCAGGACGACTCACGAGCGAACGGTTCCAAGCGCGGGCGGGGTAAGTAAGATCTGTGTTATCCCCCCCTCCCGCAAGCCGCCTGGTGTGTAAAGGAATCGGCCTCGCCCTGGAGGAGCTCCGAGCTCCGATTGTGCGCACGTGTACGCACACTCAATGGTCGCTGCAGTCGCGCCCCCGGCCGCCAGCGGTTCACGAGTCCCCCAGCACACACACGAGAGAAAACGGCCACACCGCTCCGCCCCGGCGACACGACACTCAACGCAAACACCGATCTCTCTCACACTCGACGTACCGCAGCAAAGCCGCCGCGCGCGGCAGCATACCGCACCTCCAGCACCTCCCGCACCCACTGCTGAAGCGACGAGCAAGCCGCCCAACGACCTGCAGCCTGCGGTCCTGGGCGGCGCTCCGCGAGGGGGCGCAGAAATGCGAGGGTAGAGGAGGCCGCCTCACGAGTCGACGAGGAGCGCCGCCGCCTCTTGCACCGACCCCTTGCACTGGGCGAGCGCCTGATTCAGAGGCCACGGACCCGTCAGCACTGGTGAAGAGGTGAAGGGCCAGTGCGCCTTGCAGAGGGCGAGCGCCGCGCTCGCAGCCTCCTTCGAGAAGCCCATCGCGACGAGGTCCTCCACCCCCGCGCTGCTCGCCTCATCGAAGCTGGGCGGCGGAGGCGTGCCGTCCAAGCTCGCCGCGCCGAAGGCCGCCGCCGCGCCGATGATGTCTGGCTTCTCGGGCGACGGAGGCGCCTTTGGGTGGGGTGGTGGTGGGGGGGTGGGGGGTCCCTCAGCTGAAGGGTTGAGAGTCGGAAGGGGCGGCGCCTCGGCGGCGCCTCGTGCGGAGGCACGTCGAGCCCCTCGGGGCGGAGGCTGTATCTCGGCTAGTTCTCGGCCGTGCACCTCGGGCGGAGGCACGTCGAGCCCCTCGGGGCGGAGCGGCTTGACGAGCGCGTGCCTAGAAGGCTCCTAGAAGGCTCCTAGAAGGCTCCTAGAAGGTTTCCTAGAAGGAGCGGCTTGACGAGCGCGTGCCGCGGCAGCTTCGGCAGCGTCGCATACGGCGGCACGCGGTCAAAGTAGATCGAGTCGTTGTCCTTCTTCGCCTTGGCGTGCGCGTCCTTGGCCAGCGCGTGCGCGTCGCGAAACTGCTTTTGCAGCGCGGCCGAGTGGCGCTGGCACATGTTGACCGCCTCGGCCGTACGGTTCACGGCATGCCTACCTCACACACAGCCCCGGGTCACATGCCCCTCTCCTCGCCCCTCTCCTTCTCTTCGGCGCTGGACGGCGCGCGTCAGCCGCGACACGCAAGCGCCGTACTCGCCCGCCTCCCCGAGCGCCTATGGCGGTCGATGCCGCAGGGTCGGAGGAGGAGGGGCCCCGCAGGCCGCCGCACCCGCCTTAGGTCCGTCGGGCCGTCGCGGCGTAGTAGTTTTGCACGCCATCGAAGAGCGCGCCTATTCACAGCTAGAGGTGTGAAGAGACGCTGTGCGTAGTAGTTTTGCACGCCATCGAAGAGCGCGCGGTTCCAGTCGACGACGGCGAGCCACTCGGAGCTGATCGCCTCCTGCAGCAGCGGCGCCTTGAGCTTGAGGCCCGCGTCCTGGACATGTCTCGGACACGTCATGGACAGGTCTCGGCCCGCGTGCGTGAGCTTGAGGCCCGCGTCCTGGTAGAGCGCGGCGCACTCGGCCGCCAGCTTGGCGACGATCGCGTGCGACCGGCCGTCAGCAACCGCCTTCTCGTAGAAGCACTTTTGCGCCTGGAGCAGGGGCTAGGGCTCGCGTCAGGATTAGGGTAAGGAGAGAGCGCCATATCTCGTAGAAGCAGTCTTGCGCCTGGGCGAGCATGATGCAGCTGAGCGCCTCGAGAAAATCGTCGGTCATGTCCGGCGTGAAGCTGAGCCACGAGGCGCTCGACGCGATCTTGCGCAGCTCGTTGATCACGCCGGACGCCTCCTGGAAGTAGCGGCACGCCAGCTTAATCTGCTCGGGGTCGCCCCGCTCCTACGGGCGCACACTCAGACCGCTGATCGCACGCGCACTCAGACGGACCGCGGACGGACGCCCCGCTCCTGCGACGTGGCGAGGTACGAGAGCGCGCCGGCCACGTTGAAGAGGACGCTGGCGCGCTCAAAGGCCCAGTCGGGCTGGTCTACGAACCTCCTCGTCGAGAAGGTGTCGTACCAGCGGAAGACGACCTTGGCCTCGTTTTTCAGGTCCACGGTGCGAAAGTGGTGCTCCGCGTGCGTCGCGAGCGCGTAGTAGCGGAGCTGGCCGTCGCGAACCGCCTCGGCGCCGTTCGTGCCGAACCGCTGGCTCCGCATCTTCTCCCGCCAGCCCTGCAGGTCCTTGAGGAAGGCGTGTCCCGACGGGAACCGGCTAGTGTCGACGTGCCTCCGAAGCCGCTCCTCGACCGGAACCGGCTCGGTCGTCTTGACGTTGAAGGCGAGCATCGGCGCGGTCGGTTGGCAGCGGTCGGCGGCGGCGGCCGTGATCGGCCTTGACAAAAAATGAAAGAGCCCGCCAGACGGATCATCCGGCCCGCTGAGTGCGCTTCTCAGCTCCCCGGCCCTGGATGTGAGGTTAATGACTGCACTCCAAGTGCTCCAAGGCCCTACAAGCTGGGAATAGGACCGCCGCAAGCGGCGTGGCGTGGAGCGGTTGAGCATCCCTCCGGGGCCCCTCTGCGCCGGGGAGGCGTTGTTGGAGGCTAGGACGCAAGCGTCCGTCGCCTTTTTCAAACTCGGGGCCCACTCCGCTACGCTCCGACCCGAATTTGGAGGGCCATGAAATTTAAGGTGTTGCTGCGCAAAAGGGGCGGGGCGCGGGCGCGCGGGGCAGGCCGAGAGCTCTTTTTGGAGATCAGACCCCTTTCGATGGTTCATGCTTTCTATGTCTATCTCATGCTTCATGACACGACACGCGGTGGTGGGAGCTGGTGGAGCTGTCAGCTGATCGATCCAAGCGGGTGGGGAGTGGGGGGCATGGCTGGGCATGCAGGTCCGCCAGTCGGCCCGGCCTCTGACGTGGTGCTGCCGCTGCATTGGCTGAAGAAGAGAGGTGCGACTTGATTGGAGGCGCTGGAGGCGATGGCGCTAGCGAAGGGAGGTTGGGCCGGGCCGTGAGGGGCTGATGGCGCTGGCCAGCGCGGGGTGTGAGATGTCGTCGTCGTCGTATACTGCTGGCCCTCGCCCTCAGTTGCCAGGGCTGTGGGCTGCAGAATTGGCGTCTGTGGCGTCTACGCAGGCTCTGCAGCGTGATGGCAGGCGGGACTGCGAGGCCGGCGGCAGCGGAAGGAGAGGCTGGGCACGAGCCAGGAACAGTCTGGCCAGGTCCGCAGGTGGCTGCGCTCGGGCGAGGCGCGCGCGCGCATGGCGGGCCGAGCAGGCTCGGCATATATGGTGAACCCCCGATGTCGCGATGCGGTCCTCCCGCTTTTCCGCGATCATTTCGTCCGTCCAATCGATAGAAGCGCCGGGTCGCCCATGTTTAGCGTTTGCCAAACTTGTCACCGTTCTTCGTCCCAGATTCCGTGGGTTTTCAGTGTACTGACTTTTAGCTTATCTCTCTCTCTCAGTGTACTCGTACTTTTAGCTTACTGGGAGAAAAGAGAGAGGGGGTTGTGTTCTCTAGGCCCCTAAGGGCCCTACGCGCGGCGTGAGAGCTCGGAAGCGAGCTTTGCACGGCGATCGAGGATGGCACGGTTCACCCCCTTCACCGAAGCGATGGAGATGCGTTCCGCGTGGTGTGACACAAATGAGAGGCGGGAGTGGGGAGGGTACGCGGTGCGGTCAACGCCCGAGCGTTGAGCCTTGCGCGCAAGGCGGTTGATCTTCGCAACTGCTGGCGGCGAGAAGCCGCCGCCGAATGTCTCGTGGAGAAGCAGGTTGAACTTGTTGCGTTTGGTGAAGATCCCATCATGGTAGTGGCCACGCTGTGACTTGACGTAGCCTTGGCCGGTGGTGTGGTCGAACGCCCGTTGACCACGGAACCCGCGTTGCTTGCAGCCCATGTTTGCAAGGCGGGCGCGCTCTTCGGTGTTGCCGAAGGCGAACTTGTCTCCAACGGAGCCGGGGTTGCCTCCGGTGTCGGCGCGGCCGACCCCAACGGGCAAGCCACCCCGGAGGGGGGTCCAAAGTTTGACCTCACTGATCTCGTCTTTGCCCCCGGGAGCCTCGCCCGGTTCAGCCAGGTCGGTCTTGTAGCCCTCGTTGAACTGTTTGGTGAGTTCTGGCTTTTCGGCATCTCCCATAACGGGCCGGGAGACGGAGACGGCGTGGACACAATCGTACCAGGCGCGAAGTACGCCGTCGTGTGGGCGCCGCCGGGCGGCGTTGTTGAGGAACCAGTCGCCATGGTAGTCCTTTGCACCACCGACTGTGTCCCCAAGTTCGAGTGCCCGCGTGACAGTCGAGCGGCACTGCGAGAGGTGAAGGCCGTTTCGGCGCTGAAGCTCGCCGATGAATATGTCGTCTGGAATGCATGTGGCGTTGCTGCCGTCGAGTTTTGTGTCGAGCCACCGCCCCGCGTAAGGCTGCGCAGTTGAGACGTAGCGGATGGACTCGCGTAGACGTATTTTGGTGTCGCCGGGCTGCCAGTTGGCTGCCGTGTAGTCGTCGAGGGCGCGCCACTCCTTCTGCAAATCGAACCAGTTCCAGATAGTCTCGATGGCAGCAAGCGCCCGCGCGTACGGGCTTCCTGATTTGCAAGTGCCATCTCTCTCAGTGTATGTAGCTCTTACGAACATACCCGAGGGTGATTTTTGCACGGTATTCAGATTTTCGCTATTTGTTCTCTATTTGGTCGTGTGGGTGTGATTCGGGGATTAGTCAATGGTACCGCGTCGGCGACGCGGGCGCCTTGCGGGCAGAGCCCTGAGCCACCCTTATGTCTTGCGCGGTCAAAAAGCAACAAAATTAGCAACGTGTGAGTGTTAGAGTTGTTTGGTATTGCTAAAAATCTCTCTCTCACAAAATTAGTTAGAGTTGTTTGGTATTGAAAATCTCAAAAAGAGATCGGGGTAAAAACGCAGATTCTCCTAAATGTAGGTAAAAGCCACATACACTGAGAGAGGACGGACAAAGAATTCTTCAAATACAAGCCTCTCTCACAAGCACAAGGGCTAAACCAAGAAGACACCAGCAGACACGAGATTCTCCTGGTCACGCCTCCGTCCTCTCCGACCTAAATCTCCACGGCCCCTGACCCTGCTGCCTGAGCTCTTGCTGCGCAGGCTGCGCGTTCGATGCTGCGTTGCGAGATCGAGGTGTTGCCGACTGACGGCGAGATGAGTGCGACCGACCTCTACGACGCCGCGTCATCCGCAGGCTCTCTCCGCGGACTCTCCTGCTGCGGATGGAGGACCGAGCCTCTATTCTTTACTGCGCGGCGTCAAAGGTGCCTCATATCACACTTGTCGGGAGGGCAGCAGCCGCCTCACAGACACGCGGCAGCCTTTCGCATTCGGATAGGCGTGCAGTCTGCAAGGCTTCTCTGCTCCGCCCAAGGCCCGTCTCTCCTCCCGCCGCACCACTCGCATCTCTCAGAACACCTACTACGCACTTGCCGTGCAGGCGTGGACGCGTTTGCGACCTGCTCCCGCCTCTTCAGCGTGGCCCTCGAGCGGATCCACGAGCTTCACCTGCCGTGCCTCGGTCGTGTGGCGGCGGCGCATCTCGTTCGCCACGGCTGGGCGGTTGTCGACGACTGGATGGATGCGGAGGCAGTGGCAGAGGTCGAGAGGCTCGCTGCGGCATCCGCGTGCGGCTGGGCGGAGGGCGGCAGCGACGGCGTCGAGTGGCGGGCGCCAGAGCCGCGCCACGCTCGCACCGACCTCGCGACGTGGCTCAAGACCGGCGAGCGGCCGGCGTGTGAGCCTGTGTTTGCGGACCGCGTCCTGCCGCGATTCGACGCCCTGGCGGTCGACCTCGGCGAGCTCATGGAGGGCGTCGGCAGCCGGCTGGAGGTGCAGCTGGCCCACTTTTCTGGGGGCAAGCAGGCGCGGTACCGGCGGCACACAGACGCGACCGCAGACCCGCGGCCAGAGAGCCGCGAGCGCAAGGTGACCTGCATCCTGTACTGCAACTCTACCTGGGTCGAGGCGAGTGAGGGCTGCTTGCGGCTGACCAGGGCCGACTGCGAGAATGCGACCGGGCTGAAGGCCAGGCCGGAGGGGGCGAGGGGCACGGCCGGCAGCACGATGGACATCCCGCCGATCGGCGGGCGGCTGCTCTGCTTTCTGAGCGGCGCGATGGTGCACGAGGTGCTGCCCACCAAGGCGGACAGGATCGCGGTCACTGCGTGGGTAGCATGAGAGAAATGAAAGGAACACGCGTTCAACGAAACGCCGCGATATGTGCTACCCATTTCGGGCCCCCACTTGCGTGTGTGGAGGACGTCGACCTAAATCCGAATCTAAAATATGAGGATTCAGGATTGAGGCATCGCTTCAGTGAGGCCAAAGAGTTTATGGATGTGTGAGGACGGTACGGGACACGAGGTCGAGGAGTCACGCGAAAACCGACTCGTCGGTGACTCTGTGCACTGCTAGAGCTGTTTAACATTTTAACTTTGGGGCCTAAACAGTTGCGCTAGTGTTGCTGTTGGCTGAAATCCTTAACGTTGTAGCCTCAGCAAGCAGAAAATGCCAAAAAATCCGGGTAAAACCCAAAATCCTGGGGGTTTCCGGGTGTATATTTTCGGGTATTACCATTCGTGCACAAAGCAGATACCAGACCTCGGTTTCCCATAGGGTTTCTGCTCCGGTTTCCCATTGCGGTTTCGCATAGCCGAAAACCCAGGGGTCGGTCGGTTTCTGCGGTGCGCTCTGTTTTTTCTGGGATCTGTTTTCTGGGACACCCGCCTCGATTTCCCGCGGGATCTGCCCGTGGGTCTGGTTTCTGCGGTGTGAATACATCTCCCGCTTCGTCCTAATGAGCTCATTCCGGCCAATGAACAGGTGTACCCCCGTCCGTACCCGGGGGTATCGAGCACGAAATCACACAGAGAGAAAGAACATTGCGCGTCACGCGATCTGTTATTCTGGGATCTGCTTTTTCGGTCCCCGATGGCGAGCTGGCTCGACGATCTCGGTCTCCACGAGCTCGAACACATCAAGGATGGCGCAAGTGCCTTCGCGCAGGAGCTCCACCCAATCAACTCGGCGGAGGATTTCATCAGCTTCGTGGTTGCGCTCAACCTCTGGGGAGCCCCACTGTTGTTCTGTTGTTACTGCTGCGAGTCACTCTGGAGTTAATACGGGAAGGAGCTGCTAGTACTTTTTTCACTCCGTTGTATTTGAACAGCGTCGGCGGATAGGCGGCGGGGACACCCGGCCAGGCCGCACCCGAAAGAAACAAAGAGAGAGCACAAGTCCGGCAAAACACCGCAAATTTGCTGCGTATCACGGCCTGTCCACGCATCACGGGGTGCCGCACGGTGCTGGTGGCGCCTGGGCGCTGACCAACGGCATCTTCCCCGTCGCGGCGCAGAGGAACCTCGCGATCCCGCCGACATGCTTGAAGGCTCCCTGCTGTGCCCGCCACATGGAGTCTACAGGCGCATTCACATTGCAACTGCACAACGCCTGGCCTTCAGGAAGGAAATCCCACATCCGAGAGAGCGTCACGTTCGCTTCCCGCATCGCGCACAGCAGTGTATTCTCCGAAAACGCGGCCACCTTTGAGGCGAGGATACGGTTGCGGCAGCGCTCGGCAAAGGCGCCGCCCCCGCCGGCCCAGGCAGCGTGCAGCGCGCTGCCGAGAGCGACCATGGCAGCGGCTGGCGCACTCCAGAAGCACCAGTCGAGGTGCTTGAAGTTTGGGTGGCCGCACTGGTTGACTTCGCGGGAGGGTAGCAGCCGGCGAGCACGTGCGGCAACGTGCCCCCATCCCGTGGAGCTGATGATGTTGCGTCGGTACTCACTCTTTTTTGTAAGTGATGCGAAGCGTGAGCTCCCAACATCTGCTCTGAGGCGCACTGCCGCCGAGTAGAGACCTCCTTTCAGGTGCGCATGGCGCTGCATGAGCTCGACCCCGAAAGCAATGCTGGCCGAGTTCATTCGTGTCCCCCCCAGCGCCTCCCAGTTTGTCCACGAATGAGAGTCTGACGTCAGCGCGCTGTCGTTCTGCGTTCCGACGGCTATGCTCACTGGCGCCAACGCCTCAGCAATCTGCGCCACGCAGCGCCAAGATTTCGTTGCGGAGAGCTGACCTTGCAGGGTGTCGTACCTTCGCCCCTTTGCCTTGGGTCCAATCCAATCGAGAGCATCCCAGGTATGAATGAAGACATCGCAGGAGCGGTTGAACGCCTCGTGGCAGCGCTGCTGGTGTGTTTGCAGCACCGTGACGCCGCCCGCCCTCTCGCATGTGTCGCGGAGGTGGCCCGTGAAGATGAGTGCAGCGCCGAGTCTCCGTTCGGATGGCGGGGCGAACTGCGCTGGCAGAACGGGCGCGATTGGCCAGCCGCCGCCGGGCATATACACCCTCCCGCCAACTGTCTGAAAGGGGTGGTCCCGGTCAAGTCCGAGCCTGCTGTCCTCCTACCTACCCGGTACCTCCCAACGTACTCGTAGAAGCAGATATCAGCGTGAATATGGCATGTCTCTCTCCCCTCGAAGCAGGGGTCCTCCAAAGGTGTCGCCACCAACATGCGACGGGGCAGGCCAATCAATGCTGCTCCTGCCCACAAGAAGAAGACGGTACAGAATTTTACAACAAAACTCCTCGCACGACACAGACGCGAGACGGTACAGAAACAGATCGAGAATTCAGCTGATGGTCGATACATCGCCGAGCGAACGGCCTAGCCTCATTGCGGAGGGGAATGAAACCAACCCCCTCCTTCTCCTACCCAACCGCGCGGCCAAAGGATATCAACGACCTCTCTCGAGATTGTTTTTCTCGGTCTCGCGCTATCCACTTTTTTTGCTGACTGAGTTTGCTGACGGGAAAATGATCGATCTCAAAACGCATTTCGGCAGATTGCTGTCCTAACTAGTGCAGTAAAGTGTGCTCGAGAGGACTGAGCACCTGCCGTCGCTGCCCCGTCGCGTCCTAGATATCTCTCGAGATACATCTCCTTCACATCCCTCCCCTATCACACACCCGCTTGTCACTCGTTCGCACTCAGACTCTCCGGCCCGCTCGGGGGGTGCATATTCTCTCTCCGCTCCTGCGCGCCACACCCCTCCCTTTTCGCGCTCGAGGCCCCGAGCGCCTCGATGAGCTCGGCTTCCTCCTTGCGCAGCCGCATCACCTCGAGCTCGTACCGCGCCGCCGCCCGCTCATTCTGCTCCGTCCGCTCCGACGCGCGCTGGCGCGCCGCGGCAATGAGGAGCCGCTTCTCTTGCTCGCGCCGGCGCCGCGCCGCCTCCTTCTCCTCCTTGACGCTGTTGCGGCGGGCGGCGGCGGCGGCGCGCTCCGCTGTGCGAGCGCGGGCGATGGCCACCGCGTTCGCTTCGTTTGCACGTCTCGCCTCGCTCGCCGAGATCGATCTGGCTGCGGTCTGTGCCTCTCGCGCGGCGACCACCGCCGCCCGCTGCTGCTCCTTTGCCTCGAGGAGGGCGTGCTTGTGCCTCTCGACCGCCTCATCCTGCCCAAGCCGTGAGAGCTGCTTCTCATAGTCGGACTGCTGGTGGCGCGCCTTGATCGCGAGAATCTCCTGCGTCCTCCGGTGCGTCTCCTCGATGCGCTTGATCGCGCGCAGCTCCTCCGCCTCCAGCCGGGCCAGGCGGTTGGCCAGCAGCATCGCGTCCGCCTCGGCGCACATCCGAGCTCGCCTCGCGTTGGTCATTGCCGCGGAGAGGACGGCGTGCTGCCCCTCGACGAGCGGCGCCTCGTTGGCCGCAGCAGGACTGGCACACATGGCGACCACGGCACCGCCCCCTCCACGGTGGCTGGGCAGGAGAGCGCGACGCGATGGTGGCGGCGGGAGGACGTTACGAAAACCAGACCGTTTTGAGTAACCAGGGACGCCGCCGGTGGCATCTCTTTCCACCCAAGAAGCCCGTTTGGAGGGATGGGCGGCAGTGTGCGGGCGGTGAAGTGCTAGTCCTCTCATCAATTTAGAACGAAACGCCCCTCCCTCCCTTCTTCCCTCTATCCCTTTTGCTCTCTAACCTAGACACAGACAGGCTGTTCACCAACCAATCCTCTACCCCTCCCTCTCTCCCCATCCTAGACTCCCTCCACGCGTCCGATCTGGCCAAACATACCCGCACACAAAACGCGCCTGCGGGCGGACCCTCACAGATCACAGATCACTCGCGCGGGAGCATTTCACTCTAGCTGAGGGGCTCGCTAAACGCTCGCCGAGCTCCATGCTGTGCAACACCACCTCCTCACTAATCGTCAGGGGCGCGGAGAGCGCAGTGCACTGCGGTGAGGCTGCGCAGCGGGGGCTCGCCCCCTGCACCGCGCTCAGCGGCGGCGCAGGGGAGGGCGGTCGGTGGCGGCGGCGGCGAGGCGCGAGGCGGTGGCGGCGGTGGTGCGGGCGGCGGGATGACAGGGGAGGCGGCGGGATTGACAGGGGAGGCGGCGGCCACGAGCGGAGCGGCGCGAGAAGGGGGGGGGGCGGCGAGGCGCCGGTGAGCGAGGCGCCCGCGCCATATCAGAGGGACGCGCCGCTGCGAGATGGAGGGCGGCGGTGACGGAGGCGAGGCGCGAGGCGGCGGCGGCGGCGGCGGCGGCGGCGACGGCGGCGGCGAGAACGGCGGCACCGAGTCTCGGTGAGCGGCGGCGGGAGGAGGAGCAGCGGCGGCGCTCGCTCGCTGTTGACGGGAGCGCTTTTGAGCCTGGGAGCCCATGCCACTGCGACCGGCGTGCCCGGGAACGGAGATCGCGCGCGCGCCGCCACTCACGACGCGCGCGCGATCTTCGCGGAGTCGGGTCCCCAGAGTGAAGCGGTCTTCTCGGCCGACGTCCAGCGGCGCGCAAGGAAGCAGGCGCAGCGGAGGCGGCCTAGCACCGGCTCGGCGCCGGGCGGTTGCGCTGCCCGCGAGCCGCGTCCTGAGCCTCGGCAGCGCGCTGCGCGGCGCGGCGCTCGCGCTGCTTCTGTGCCGAGAGCGGCATGATTCGCCAGCTGAAGCTCCAGACTCCGCGGGTCCGCGAGTTCTGGGGGTCACGAATTCCCCTTTTTGAGCGGAAATTGGCGTAAGCGTCTGAAAGCAGTCTTGGGTGGTCCACCCCTTTCTTTTTAGTTAACTAGCACGCGCCAGTTCACACCTGTGTCGAGCCTGTCTGCTGTGAGAGAGAGTTGTTTTGTTTAAATTCTTTTTAGTTCTTTTTCTCTATTGGTGTACCTGTGTAGTGCCAGTGCGCGTTGCCTCTGTTAGGTGTTAGTGCTAGCACGCGCCAGTCCACACCTGCCTGTGTCGAGCCTCATGCCTGTCTGCTGTCGCCTGTCGACTGCTGTGAGGGGCACCTCTTAACTGAGATTGAGAGAGATTTTTAGCAATACCAAACAAATCTAATCTTGTTTGTTGAGATTGATAGATAGATGATAGTCCTCTCTTGGGGTTGTTTTGTTCAGTCCCGTGCCGTCCGTGGCTCCGTGTTGTCAAACAAGAAGGACAAAGTCTCTCTCAAACAAAGGGACAAAGTGTTGTCAATCAATAGGCGGGACTGTTCCCCGCCCAATCCCGTGAAATTTCTTTTCCCTCGCCACTCGCTCTCCGGCCGCGCCCTGGCGAGTACAGGCCCCGCCCACCCACCCACCAGGGGGGGCCTTGGACGAAAATGAACTGACTTCTTGTACATGCGTCCCACTCGGACATGTCGGCTGCTGCCGCTCTCGCCTCGCTGGCGGCGCGGTCTAGTGCCGCGACTCCCAGCTCTCCAGTACCTTCTGCGCGACGACGGTGTGGCGGTGCGCAAGTATTTAACGACATTCACGGAGATCAAGCCCTGAGCCGGCTTTGGCGCATGCATCAGCGGCCACCTTCTGCCTGACTCTCTATTCGAACGTCTATATGGCTCTCTCGGCGCTCTGTCTTGGTCGCCTATTAGTTTTTGCTCTGCTTATATAGTTTCTTTCTTTTCATCGCGCTGTGTTCGTGCCAGTGCGCGCCAGTCCCGTGCCCAGTGAGCAGTGTCTGGGGCGGAGCTTTAGGCGATGATCCTAAACCAAATTTTTTACTCACTCGTGAGCTGTGAACAGGCGCACTTGCCTTCGGGGCAAATTTCCCAAATAGTTAGAGGCTGCGCAGGCCGTCCCGTTTGCTGTTTGAAACGCCTGTTGCGCTGGCCGCTCGTGCGCGCGCGCGCTGGCCGCTGCCGGGGCTCTGTCTCACTCTCACGTGCCGCAATATGTGTCACACACGGCGGCTTCTGCCACCTCTCGATTGGTTCTACTTTCTACGCACACCCACCGGGGAAGGGGCGCTTGGGAGCGGGGGCGGGGGCGGGGGCGGGGGCGCGCAGCGCGGCTGCGCGGCGCGCGCAACAGAGGGTAGGGTGGGGAAGACGGCGAGGAGGGGGCGGCGGCGGCGGCGGCGGCGGCAGCGCGCGCGCGGCGCGCGCAACGGGGGGGCGGAGCAGCGACCGCTGGCGCGGCCGCTGCTCCGTCTGTGCCAGGGACGCGCGCTCTGCGCCGCTGCACAGAGCGCGCGTCAGGCAAAGGAGGGCATGCGTGGCGGCGCGGGACGCGCGGCGGCGGCGGCGAGCACGCTCCGTGAGCGGTGAGGCGGCCGGGCGAGGGCGCGGCGGGTGACGGGTCAAGGGAGCAGCCCACACCCGGCGTCGCTTTTTGAGCGACGCCTGTGGTACGCCTGCCAGGGGCCGCAGGGCGGTCAGTTGTGGGGCGAGGCGGTGCCGGCCGCGGGCCGGGTGCAAGGCGCCGGCCTCGGCGCCGCCTCGGCGCGCCGCACGGGCGCGGCGAGCCTCTGAGCGGGAGCCGAAGGTTTGCCTGTGGGAGGGAGGTGGTAGGGAGGGAGGGAGGTGGGGGTGATTTTTCTTTGCCGCAGAGGCCGTCCCTAGCTGTGAACAGCAAACCGGGACAGTATCCCGACGTGCGTATTTTTTGCGACTCTTCGGCCTTCACATGCACACGACACGTCGCAAGGACGATCGGCTCGAGATGGCTGCAGGAGAGGAGCCCAACGATGAAGAGCTTCAGAGGAGAGCCGACAACTTTGACACCGAGAAAGCAGCGCTGGCTGTAGACTACCTAGTCGTCGGCGCCGGACTCGCCAGTCTAGCGTTCCTTGACGAGCTTCTCTCGCTCGACAGCAAGGCCACCTTCGCCCTCGTCGACAAAAACGAGGCACCCGGCGGCCACTGGAATTTTGCGTACCCATTCGTCAGGCTGCACCAACCCGCGGCTTACTACGGCGTGTCGAGCGAGCCTCTCGCGGCCGGCGCGAAGCGGAGTTGCATGATGACGTTTGAGCCGTATGACAACAAGGACCTCGCCGACAAGGAGAAATTGCTCGCGTACTTTGCACGAGCCGTGCACAGGTTCGAGGCCACTGGACGGGTGCAGTACTTTGCGAGGGCAACCTTCAGCGACGGCATAATTGCGTGCGCCGACGGCTCCAAGCGGTCGGTCAACGTGGTCCGCAAGCTTGTGCTGCCTGCGTCCAACGTGGTCGTGCCGGCCATGCGGCCACCCGCATATGCCGTCGCAGAGGGCGTCGACTGCGGGCCCGCCAACATCCTCTCGTCCGACGAGGAGTCGGGCCGGCTGCGGACGAGCTACGTCGTCGTTGGCGCGGGCAAGACGGGAGTTGACTCCGTGCTTCTGCTGCTGCGGCGCGGGGTGCCTGCGTCGGCCATCACGTGGGTGGTCTCGCAGGACTGCTGGTACTTTCTGCGGGACTACATTTTCCACAGCGGCAGCGCCTTCTTGGGGATGAGCGTCAAGATGCTCGACGCGCTGAACGAGTGCTCAGACTCGTCGAGCTTCTTCCACAAGATGGAGGCGATGCGGCTGGTTGGGAGGCTCGATCCCTCGCGACCGCCGCCCACCACGTTCCGCGGTGCTACCGTCGACATCGAGGAGCTAGAGCTGCTGCGGACCGTCGAAGCAGCGGGAGGTGTGGTACGCCTCGGACGCGTCACGGCCATAGACGCGACGGGCATCACTCTGCAGCAAGGCCATGTCGCCCTGCCCAGCGCCGACACGCTCGTCGTGGACTGCAGTGCGAACGGCACTGACGGCTACGCTCCCATCCGGACTCCCTTCGAGGCGGACCGCATCCACCTCACCCCCTGCTACTCGTTCAACATCGGCTTTGGCGCCGCCATCTTGGCCTGGCTGGAGAAGAACGTGGAGACCGACGAGCGCAAGAACGCGAATGTTTTCACGATCATCCCGGAACCGGGCGATGTCGTGAAGTGGGGTTCCCCCGCGTTGCTCCCCTTGATTCTGTACGGCCAGTTCAAGATGGACAAGTCGCTCGAGCGCCTGGGCGCGTCCTCTTGGATGCTGACGCACCGAACCCACCAGGCGTCGATGAAGCACATCTCCCTGTGCAAGCTTCTCTGGGCCGTGATCGGGCCGACTCGATTGATGGCCAGGCGGGACCAATTCCTGGCGAAGATGGAGGCAGGCGGATTCACCGACGTGCAATTGCATAGGCGTCACGTCGCGTGAGCCGTATAGGGAGATCTTGTCCGGGGTGTGGTGTGCGCGAGGCTTCTCTCTAAAATTGTATATAATATATAAATAAGGCTTTCGTTGCGGTACCCCGACCAGCGCTCTCTCGCGCGAGCTTGCGCACGCACTCGTTGGTGTGCGCGATCGCGGCCTATGCGCCCCACTTGACCCGGCGACCGCAAATTCCTTTGTAGTGCCAGTCCCCTACCGGTGTCGTGCGGGGGTTGCCCATTTCTTTTTCCTTTCTTTTTTTGGGCCCGGCCGACTGCACGCTAAAGGCTACACGCTCGCACACCACTTGCAGAGTGGCTCTCCCAGGCGCTCACCCCACCCGGAGGCACGCCAGGCCCAGCGCTCTGCTGCTGGGGGGGTCGGGACCCCCCCCCAGCAGCAGCGCTCTGCTGCTGGGGGGGTCGGGACCCCCCCCCCAGCAGCAGCGCTCTGCCTGTGGGGGGTGCTGGCATCTCTGTACAGACAGCACAGCTGTAAGTAGCATGCGTTCGAGTTGCGAGAATTTATGGTCGGCATCAAAATCAGTGGTCTCAGCGGCGGGGCCTCCTACTGCCAACCGGGCGGTGCGGGGCACGCCAGCCTCTCTTCTACGCCTCTCGTGCCTCGCGGCGCCTCTGCTTCAAGGAGGGAAGATACGGCGCTCGCAGCCCATCATACGCCGTGGCACAGCGGAGAGCACAGCGGGCTGTACAAGTCCATCGGATAGTGCTCAATATCTTCGCATGCTCGTCGTTGGTGATATCCGCGCGAGGTCATACGCCACAGGCCAGCAATCACTCGGTGATGAGACTATTGATGTAGGCGCGACGCTCTGACACCGAGTGTTGTGTGGTAGTACAAGATGGACTCACCATGGTCACAAGTCTTTAGTAAAACGCCAGCACTCGACACGACGAAGGTGTATTGGGCTCGAAGGCGCGGTGAACACAACCGCCTCGAGCGTACCGCTCAAACACGAGCCGAGGGGGCGGGAGGCCGGGGGCGGCGGGAGGCGGGAGCTGGGTCCAGTGCGCTCTGCTGCTGGGGGGGTCGGGACCCCCCCCCAGCAGCAGCGCTCTGCTGCTGGGGGGGTCGGGACCCCCCCCCAGCAGCAGCGCTCTGCTGCTGGGGGGGTCAGACCCCCCCCCCTAGCAGCAGGGACGGGCTTAGTTGTGCAGGGGGGGTAGCGAGCAGAGTGCGGCCGCTCCCGCGCAGAGCGTCGCCGAGCCTGGCGTGCCCGCCCGCTCGCCCGCGGCCGCAGGCGTGGCAGCCGAGCATCCTGGCGTCTTTGGCAAGCGCTCACATGCCAAAAGACACCTCGTAGCGCGCGAGACGTGATCAAAGCGGCACTTGGCCTTTATACGTTATTCTTTCTTCCGACTCTATATTCTTTTTCGAAGCGATTTTCAGCGATTTTCAGCTGGAATATAAAGAATATTTGAGAATATAGGCCCGGTTTGGGGAGCTGTATTCTCGGCATATTCGAGAATATAGACCCTGTTTGGGACAAGAATACGGAAAGAATACGGGAAAAGAATATGGGCCCGAGAGCGATATGCCATGTCCGCCTTGCGTTTGTTTCATAACATCGAAGGCTAAGCTCAAAAGAATATAGATAGAGAGTACTGGGCGAGAAAAACGTATAAAGGCCAAAGCGGCACGCGTGCCTTCTGACGTCAGCACGCGAAACTAACAAGTAATAATCTCTCTAAATGTAGTGCCGGCTGCCGCGTTTGCTATATTGTACCGCAACTTTCGAGATTCTTTTGAACACTTTCTATCGGCCCATGCACGGACACTGCACATGGGGAACACTCAAGTCTTGTCTCACGGGGGGGTCGCCACGGACAAGGCGCACGAGGCGCCGGAGGAGCCCGCCTGGGTTGGGGGCAGGGGCAGCGGTGGGTCCTGCTGAGTCGGCAGCGGCAACCTCGGTGGCAGACGCGGCGGGAGCTGGGGCGGCGGAGGTGGTGGCTTGCGAGGAGAGGGAGGCGGATATGGTGGAGGCAGTCGTAAGTGCATCGTCGGCGGCGGCACGCGCAGCATCGTCCTGGTCGCCGTTCGTGGGCGACGTGACCGCCTGGCCCGTGCTAGAGGCGACGGCGGAGGCGACAAAGGTGACACCCCCTTCAGTGGCGGCAGCAGCAGAATGGACGACGGCGAACGGAGAGCCGTGAGCCGCAGCCCCGGCGTGCACAACCATATGTCCCAGTGCGGGGCAGGCGGGCGGGGCGACGGCGGTGAGAGGAGAGGGCGCCGCAGTGGCGGGAGCGACGGCGACAGCGGGTGTGGCGGCGATGGCAACGGGCGCGGTGGCGCCCGCGTGCAAGGTCGGTAGGAGGGGAGTGGTAGAGGACGAGGCACCACCCGATGGGGCGTGGCCGGAAGCGGTGGCGGGGGCGGTAGTGATGGCGGTAGCGGGCGTGGTGGCGATGGCAGCGGGCGCGGTGGCGCCCGCGGGCAAGGCCGACGGGAGGGTGGTGGAGGACGAGGCACCGCCCGATGGGGCGTGGCAGGGGGGGAGAGTGTAGCACACGTCGGCGACAAGGGGCGGCAGGGCCTGGTGACAGACGATGGCTAGGGAGGCCGCGGCTTCGGCCTGGGTCGCAAAGCCCTGGCAGTATCCGCCGCTGCAGCCCGAGAGGCCGAAGCTCAGCGCGATGCCGTAGGAGCTGCACAGAGCGACGCGCGCGCCCGAGCCGTCAGCATCGGGGAGGTACATGGCGTACGCCTCCTTCCTGCGCCTCTTGCCCGCAGCGGCGGGCGCAGCAAGGCAGAGTAGGAGGAGCAGAGTGAGCGGCGAAAGGCGTCGCGGGGCGGAGGTGGCGGGACGGGGAGGGCGGCGGGTGGCGGCATCGCCACCGTCAGAGGGCGGGAGAGGGGAGGCGGCAACGGAGCGGGCGAGGAGGGCGGCAAGTACGAGGAGGAAGATGCAGGCGAGGGCGAGGGCGGCGGCCGGGAGGGAGAGGAGGCTCGAGGCGGAGGCGGTGGCAATGGCGTGGGGGGCGGGGGCGAGGGAGGCAGCCCCTCCGAGTCTCGGCGCCGCGAGAGCAGCCGCCGGTCGACGTCGACAGGGGCGCCGCGGCAGTAGAGAGCACTCCACCGCCAAACCGTTTTTATGGCGGGATCCTTCACAAAAAAGAAAATAATGTGGCGCGGCCGCACCCCAGGCGCAGGGTCCTCGTCCCAGGACCCCATTTTTGAGGGGTTCGCCAACCGTGAGCGTGCGTGCTCTACTCGCCAGAGGCCGCGCCTGCTCAGGGTGCTGCTGCTCGCGCTGCTGCACGACGCCAAGGTGCTCCAGGCAGCCGAATGGCTCGCGACGCTGAGCACGCGAAGCGGTACGTGAAGCGGCTAGCCGCCTCCTTCAGCAGCTGCTCTGTCGAGGCGTCCGCCTATGGTGCTTGCCTCAAGGGTCACATGGAGGCGGTCGAGCGCGGCGCTTGCGAGGCGGAGTTCCGAGCGCTTTCCAAGTGCTTCCGCGCGGCAATCGCTAAGCAGCGTTCATAGCGCCTGTAGGCTAGTATGCACACAGCGCGCTCGCCGCCTTCCGGTCCTCGCACTGTGGTTATAGACGTCGGTGTGTCAAACTTTTTTCCGATCGAGAGTCTCTCCGATATAGCGTGTACCGACAGCGTGCACCTCTACCCCCAGTCTCCCTCGGCCGGCGAGTCGTAGGCTGCCTCCTCGCCCAAAATGGCGGCGAGCCTGGGGCGAAGCGCAGCCAACTCCTCCTCGTACATCCCCCTGGCAGACATTGGCCCGAGCTCCGCCATCTCGCTGCGCACTGTCTCGCATCGCGCCTGCGCGACCGGGGATGGGGCGCCGTGAGGGCTGCACGAGCAGGGCCGCCCACCGCACGTGCGAGAGCGCCTCGAGTCTGGCGACACGCTCCTCGGTGAGCCCGGCCAACGGCAGCCGCAGCAAGTAGTCAAAGGGAGCGCCGGCAGCACCGCCCGCCTCCGCGTCGTCCGACCCTCGCCGCCCCCTCGGCTCGGCGCGACCTCCTCCGCCGGGGTCCGTCGCGCTGAAGCCGAGCGTGGCGAGCTGCGCATCCACCTCGGAGCGCGGCGTGTTGAGCCGGAGTGTGCCGCCCGCCACCAGAGCTACGAAGCGCGCCTGCCGAGAGAGAGGGGGCGGCTGGCTCGCGGAGGGAGCGTGCGGGCGGGTAGCCGTGCCGGTGCGGCAGCGCGACAGCCCGGGAGGGGAGTGGAAGACTGAGCAGCGCATTCCGCCCCCTCGGCCGTGTGGCTCACCTGCGCCTCGAGCCGGCGCAGCTCCCGGCCGAGCGACTCGAGCTGGTACGCCTTGCGCGCCTGCGGCAGAGAGAGAGAGAGAGAGAGAGAGAGAGAGAGAGAGAGAGAGAGAGAGAGAGAGAGAGAGAGAGAGAGAGAGAGAGAGAGAGAGATAGAGAGAGAGAGAGAGAGAGAGAGAGAGAGAGAGAGAGAGAGAGAGAGAGAGAGAGAGAGAGAGATGGCGGGCGAGTGGCGGAGAGAAAGAGAGACAGGAGCGCGCGCCTCGTAGGTCGCGAGCCGGACGGGCACGAAGCGTGCGATCGCTTCGCCAGCGCTCTGCAGCCGGAGCAGCGCGCCGTGCTCATCAAAGACGTGCCTGGGGGGGGGGGGGGGCGTGCGAAGGGAGAGGCGCGGACGTTGCTCCCGGCGGCGTCAGCGACGCACATGTTTGTGAGCGAGTGGCTCGCGCGCAAGCCAAGCCTCCGTGTCAGATCCGGCTCGCGGCCCAGCCGGTCGAGCTGCGCCGCCGACGCGTGCAACACAAAATGGACCGACCTACACGAAAATGCCATCTTGCACGTCAGGCGCTCTCGAGGGGCGAGCGCCGCGCGCGCAGCCGCACCGCTCGGTGTGCCGCTCGGAGAAAGAGCGCCTACTTGGCACCGCTTCGCCGCTGACGACTGCGGCGAGGGGGCACGGAGCCTGCGCCTGGGCGCTCGCCAAGGGCAGCCCTCGTTCTTTTGCTGCTCGATGAGCCAGCTCTTGTAGTCTTGCGTCCAGCGGCCGAGCGGCAGCTCGAGCACCTCGACCCCCTCCGCCGTCACCTCGACCCGGCCCACCTACCGCGCCGAGACCCGGCACGTCGGCCTCGGCGGCGCCTCTCTCGGGTGCGACGCTGGCGCACCGACTCGAAGCCGCCTCCCTTCCGGTGGGGCACAAAGGAGCCGGTGAAGCCGCGCGCCTAATCGAGCACACTCCTCCTCGCCTCACCGGCCCCTCCCCTACGCCGTCAGAGCGGAGCGCTCGCCCACGGACGGAGGGGCGGCGGCGGCTCGCCGCGGAGCACTGCGGAGCACGCATCGAGCACCGCGAGGGGGTGGTGCGGCCACACCTGAGAGGGAGGGCTCGTCTTCACCGGGGGAGGGGGCGGGCGAGGCGGGCGAGGCGGGGTCCGCCAGGCGGGCTCCATGCACACCGCCGTGGACCACCCGGTGCCGATGCCCGCCGCGCCGTTGATGAGCAGGAGCGGCAGCAGCGGCGCAAAGTGCTCAGGCTCGACCTTCTCTCCGTCCTCGACGCGCGGCTCGAGCACGGGCGCGTCGGCCTCCGGGAAGAGGAGCGGCACCACGGGCGCGAGGCGCGTGAAGATGTACCGCGCCGAGGCTGCGTCCGCGCCGCCCATCGCGCGCGTGCCGAACTGGCCGAGCGGCTCGAGCAGCGGCACGTTTGCGGCGCCGACGAAGCCCTGTGCCATCTTGGTGATGGTCGCGACGAGCGACGTCTTTGGGGCGAGGGGGGCGCGGGAGGGGGCAGCATGAGCGGGGAGTCGGGGCGCCGGGGCAACCGCGCACCGCGTCGGCCGTGCTCCGGTCGGGAGGGGGTAGCGCGCGCCTCGCCGTGAGGGCAGTGACCCTACCCCAATCCAAACCCCATCCCCAACCCTAGGATAGCGCGCCTCGCCGTGGTGGTACTGCGTCACGTCGGCCACGAAGGAAGCGAGCTGCGCCACCTGCGCGAGCAGAGACGGCCGAGCTTTGCCTCCTCTAGCAGTTTCGTGGTTCTGTCAGCTGCGCCACCTACGCGAGCAGAGGCGGCGGCGTGAGGCGGCGCCCGCCCGAGAGGCGCCCTCCCCGAGCACCGCTCGCCTTGAGCTCGGCCGGCGCAGCCAGCCGCCGCTGGAAGCACGCGTGCAGCACCTTGCGCTGCGACGGCTTGAGCCCGTCGACGAGCGAAGGCAGGGAGCGGCGCAGCGCGGCGAGCGAGAAGAGCACCTGTGCAGGGCGCCGGCGTCGGCGGGGGGAGGCGGCACCCTGGACCGGCGTGAGCGGCAACGGCGCGCCAAGTCGCGCTGCACAAACTGCTCGAAGGAGCGGCGGCGGCGAAGCGTCGCCTGCGTGGCGGGCACGCTGCTGGCAGACTCCACCGCCTCGACAAGCTGCCGCTTGGAGCGCGGGAGCGGCGCCACTCCTAGCGCCCGAGCGCGAGCGCGGAGCTGCGGGAGCGTCATGGCGCGCAGCTGCTCGGTGCTCGTCGCCACCGGCGGCGGCCCCACGGAGGAGGCGGAGGAAGCGTCGAGCACCGTCTCGGCGGCCGCCTCCGCCTCCGCCTCCGCCACCTCCGCCTCAGCCTCCGCAACCTCCGCCACCACCTCCTCCGCCACCCCCTCCGCCTCAAAGTCCGCCTCGGAGCGAGTGCGCCGCTCGATGGCGGCCTGCATCCACGACTTGCGGTCCGCAGCGCGCGCCGGGTGGAAGGCCATGTCCAGCAGCTCGTCGGCGGCGGACGCGTCCCCGGGCTCGAGCGCCACCCGGTGACGGGCCATCGCGTCGAAGTAGGAGCGCGCCTCGGCGGCGGTCGAGGTGCCGAGCCCCTTGTAGTACTTGATCCGCCACCGCGCAGCCTCGGCCGGCGACAGAGACCCGTGCCAGCGCCGAAACTCTGCGGCGGAGAAGAAGTCGCGCGCCGCGCCGGCGCCGGCGCTCGGCGTCGCCTTGACGAGGGGCGTGATGAACTCCTCGACGAAGGGCGCCTCGTGCAGGAGGGCGGGCCAGTAGTGGTGCAGCATCGAGAGGCACAGGCCCTTGATGTGCGCGCCGTCCTCGTCCTTGCGGCGCGAGGGAGGGGGCAAGTCGCGGGGGGGAGGGTACGAGGGGGGGGGGGAGGGGGGGGGGGGTGCCTGGTCGGTCATGAGCATCACGCGCCCGTACCGCAGGGTGGGCACGCTCTGCGCCCCGTCGCCAGCGCCGGTGAGGGCGGTCGGGCTGGCGCCGGGGGAGAGGCCGAGGGCGCGCATCAGCTGCACCAGCTCCTCGTTCTTGAGCAGGCGCGCGAGCGAGGCGCCGCGCACGTTGAGCAGCTTGCCCCGGAGCGGGAAGACGCCCCACCTCTCGCGCCCCACCACCTCGAGCCCCGCCACAGCGAGCGCCTTGGCGGAGTCGCCCTCGGTGACGATGAGCGTGCACTCCCGCGCCAGCGCCGTCCCCGCGAGCTCCGCATCGTCGAGCTTATCGATACTGAGGTTGGTGCCGCCGCGCGACCGGCTGCGGACGGCGCGCGCAAGCGACCGCGCGTCGCGCGCCCGCCGCTCCTCGGCGACGGCCGAGCGCAGCCACGGGAGGTTCGCCACCTCGGAGAGGAAGGCGGCCGGCACCTCTGGCGGCGGGCCGCCCCCCCACCTGTTCACAGCGCTTCTATTCACAGCTCTCCTCTTCACAGCACCTCTGGCGGCGGGCCGCCCCTCCACCGGTCGGCGGGCGAGGTGAGCCGCTCCTTCGCCTGCGAGTCGAACTCGGGGTCCTCGACCCGCCCGTCGACAAAGAGGAGCAAGTGCGGCCGCAGCGCCGCCGGAGGGAGCGGCTCCTCGCCCTTGGCCGCGAGCCGCGCCGCGAGCCCGCGCAGCAGCTGCCGCTCGATGTGGTCCATGTGCGTGCCGCCTCGCGCGGTGGCGACGCCGTTGACGAAGCTCACGTGCGCGCCGCCGCCGCCAGGCGCCGCCGCCACCCCCAGCTGCCAGCGGGGGGAGAGGCGGACGAGGGCGCTGCCGCCGCCCGCTGCGAGCGCCGCATCAGAGGCGGGGTAGCGCCGCATCAGGCCGCGCAACCCATCCACCTCGAGCGCGACGCCGTGTGAATTAGCAGTTGATTAGCAGTTGATTAGCAGTTGATTAGTCGCATTCAAACCACCCACCTCGAGCGCGACGCCGTTGAGCGAGACGCGCGCGGTGGGGTGCGCGCACGCCGCCGCCTCGTGGACGCGCCTACCCGGCACCCGGGGAAGGTCGGGCGGCTCGAGGAGGCGGGAAGCAGCGCCATGCCCTCGCGGGACACGCCGGCAGAGGAGCGCCACCGTGTCCGCGTCCAGCCCGCCGCCGCCCTCCGCGCCGCCGCCCTCCGCGAGCCCTCCCTGGCCGCCGCCTCCTTGCGCGCCACCCTCGCCGAGCAGCCGCGCGTAGTCGGGGAGCAGCGTCACGCGCCTGCAGAGGGGAGCTGGTGAGAGTCGCGAGCTGCGGTGTCGGGAGGCGGGCCGCGGCGGCGCGCGCGCGTAGTCAGAGGCGTCGGAGTGGTTAGGGTTAGGGGTAGGGGTAGGGTTAGCGCGCGTGTAGTCAGATGCGGCGGAGTGCGGCAGCGGGAGGAGCTCGGGCGGCTCGACGACGGACATGTTGCGCCGCCAGACCTGCGGCAAAACGCAGCGGCGGGCGAGGTCGAGCGGGCGCCGTTGGAGGGGAGGGTGCGAGCGCAGAGGTGCCTGCGAGTAGCGGACGCCGGCGGCAGCGTCGGCGGTCTCGACCTCGAAGCGTTCAGAAAATATGTTTGCGAGCTTCGCCCCAAAGCCGTGCCTGCCGCGAGCGCGCGTGGGGGATGGCTGGCTCAGGGTTAGGGTCAGGGGCAGCGTTGGGATGGCTGGCCGTGGTCTCGCGTGGTGGCGCGGCTTGGTGCGGAGGGCGCGGCGCCGCCTGCCGCCGACAATGCGGCCCGCTCCGTCGTCGAAGTTGGAGCCCGTGAAGAGCTCGCCCAGCACCAACTGCGGCGGGCCGGCGGCGGAGTGGTCGACTCGGGGCAGCACGCCCGACAAATGCAAGCCACCAGAGCGTGAGGGAGTGCTACGGCTGCCGCCACGAGCACCTGCGGGAGCCAGGTGCCGGCCACCCCTGCGCCGTGCACCGCGGCGGTCGCCTTGGCCACGGGGATGCCGCGCCCCGCATTGTGCACGCGCAGAGCTCCCTCAGGCAGGCCGGTCGGCGGAAGGCCAGCAGCGCCTGAGGCGGTAATCGTCATATTCATACTCAGAAAGGCCCGCAGCAAGCGGAGGCGGCGTCAGCGGAAAGGGGAGGGAGAGCGGAGCGGGCTCAGGGCGCGCGCCGATGGAGACGTCGATGTGCGTGGTGCCCGCCGGGTCGCGAGACACGTTGTCAAGCGCATTGACCAGCACCTCGTCGAAGATCTTGAGCAGCGCTGGGCAGTAGCTCACCGGCCGCCAAGCCATACCGCCGGATGTGCCGCCGTCCACGACCCAGGCGTGCTCGTTCGTGCGACCCGTGGCGCCGACGTACATGCCAGGCCGCAGCAGCACGTGCTCCAGCGGCGACAGCAGCCTGTACGTGGCCTCGTCGGCTGCGCGGTCAGCCCGCGCACTCGCCCATCGGACAGCGGGCGGCGGCGGCAGTGGCCTGCCGGCACTCGGCAGCAGCCGCTCTAAGCGACCACGGCGGAGCGACCACGGCAGCTGCCTCCACCGCATGCACACTCGCGCGAAAATCTCCCCCCAGGAATTTTTAACACGCGACTCCACCGCGGAAGAATTCGAGAGAGAGAGAGAGAGAGAGAGAGAGAGAGAGAAAACCGCCAATGGCCGTTATCCGTTAGTGCGGACGTCGCCGCGGCTCGCCTCTGCCGCGGCGGCTGCTGCGCGCACGCGGCGGCGCCGCTCTCTCGCGAGACGGCTGGCGACGCGACTCGCCGCCGACGTACGGTGCGCTCGTCCGACGGTCCGCAGCGTGGCGTGCGCGGCGCTGAGCGCCGCTCTGCGAGCGCCTCTGCGCCTGCACTGCCTGTCTCTGTTGCTGTTGGTGGTGGTGGTGCTGCTGCTGCTGGTGCCGATGCTGCTGCTGGCGCGGCGCGGCTGTGCGACTGGGCTCGACGCGCGCGTCGCGAGCGTCTGACGCGGCGGGCGGCGTCGGGCAGGTGCGCTTCTCTCTCGGGTGGTGGTGGTGGTGCTGCTGCTGCTGCTGGTGGTGCAGATGCTGCTGCTGGTGCGGCGCGGCTCTCCGACGCGACTCGATGTGCGCGTCGCGGCTATCCGACGCGGCGGGCGGCGTCGCGGGCGGCAGCGGTGGCGGCTCGCGGGTGGAGGTGGAGGCTGGTGGCTGTGGTGGACTTTGAGTTTATTTCATGGTCGTGTACGGGGACCGGGGGGTCAACCGGGAGGCAGGGGGTTCGACCTGGCGACGGAGGACCGTGGGCCATCGCGGGGACTGCTGCGTACGGAGGGCGCGGCAGATAGATCCGGATGGTCTCACCCGGTGGGAGGCACCGAGGCGTCTTGGACGCTCAGCTCTACCTTAAGCTCCTGAGGGGCGCGTGGTTGTAACCACGTAGTATGACTACAACCCACCACAGACACCCTCCCCCACTCCTCACGTGTGTTCACACCCTCACCCTCTCCTCTCTCCTCTCTCTCTCTCTCTCTCTCCTCTCTCTCCTCTTGTCTGTGCTGTCTGCCTGACTCAGGCTCTCAATCTGCCGATGCGTGATTGTGTGTGGGCTGCTCCGAGGGGGCCCTCTGTGCGATCCGACGGGTAGGGGGGCTGTGCCCGGGCGGTGTCCGGTGTGGAGTCCCCTTCTGATCCCGCCTGAGATGTTGGGTGCGAGGTCGTGGAAGCTTTGATCCCAGGGGGGGAGCTGATCCCACTCGTAACCAACTCTCAGGGGCAGTAGGTGGGCGAGCTTCAGGCGCGCCCATCTCGATCGACAAGGCGTCGCTACGCGCGGTCTTCCGCGGGGGGAGCTTCGTCGACGGGTGCAGGAGCGCGGCGCAGTCAGTGCCGTGGCGATGCCTCCGGCTGTTTGCGGCGGGCGGCTTGCTGCTCGCTGCGATGGCGAAGAACTCGTCTCGCCACACACCAAAGGGCTTATGCTCTGGCGAGACGTGAGGCGCATGCGCCCAGGAGGGGAGGGGGCATGTGTAACGACACTGCTAGAGATGCCTTTCGGGGCCCAGAGATAAAACTTCTGTGATGCCATGCGTGACCTAGTAGTGTCCCCAGCTATGGGCGTGTCCACGTTGGAGCCAGGTGTGGTGTGGGCGCGAGAATAGCTCCGCCGTTCATGGAGGCAACCGATGCGAGTCGACTGGTGTGTGTCGTCGTGGTTTCGTATCAAGAATTCTCTCTCTCTCGCGGAAGAATTCTTGGCTGAAGAAAGCTCCGCGTCCTGCCATTTGGTGTGTCCGTTTTATTTATTTATTTATTATCCGCGTCCTCCCATCCCTCCCTGTGGTCGCTCTTTTCTTTCTTTCTTTCTTTCCGTGTGGCACGCAAGGGTGGGCGACGGCTAGCACCACACCTCCTGCTTACGGTGTTTCCTTTCTTTCTTTCGATTCGGGGAACCCAAGATATGATATGCCTCCGAATGCGAGCACAGCGCTCGCAAAGTCGCAATCCTAGAACTTCTAAGAGACAGAGAAGAGAGAGAGAGAGAGAGAGAGAGAGAGAGAGAGAGAGAGAGAGAGAGAGAGAGAGAGAGAGTATCGACGCATTCAGATCGACGCATACGTGGCGACGCTCCCGGCTATGCCGTGCGCGCGGCTCGGGGAGAGGCCGGAGCAGCGCTGCAGGTGCGCGCGCACTCGATCTCGGAGGTCCTCGACACCGCCGTAGCCGTCCGGGGCGGCCCCGCCCTCCTCCGCGTCATCCTTTGGGAAGGGGCAGGGAGGGGCGGTGAGGGAGCGGGGAGGACTCGCGGACAGGCTCGCCCCGGCTCGGGGGGGCCGCCCCACAGGCGCGCGCCTCGCCGGTCCCGTCGTTTGTGCCGTCGTTTGTCGGCGTGTACGGCCTCTCGCTCGTCTCCTTTGGGGGAGGGGGGCGGAGGAGAGGGGAGTCGGGCACGAGCCGGGTCCACCCCGGCGGTGAAATCGCGGTGAGGGTGCTGAGGAGGTGTGGCGCGGTGCTGGTGTGCGGCCTCGACTCGGTATGCCCCTCCGGCCGGGCGCAGTCCAGGGCGGGGGCTCCCTCCCGGTCGACACGTCTCTCGCGGCGGCTGTGTCTTGCCTCAATGGTGCACCTCAATGGGAGACAAGCCGGGCGCAGAGAGGTCGTCGGCGCCGGTGCGGGTGGGGGCGCGGGTCGGGGTGAGTCGCTGCAGGTCCTCGCGCGAGATCTTCGCGAGGTAGCGGCTGTACCTGGGCGCGTCGGCGTGTGCGGAGAGGACTCTTTTGGAGGGCAGAGCTTTCCACGGCTACGAGGGGCGGGGAGTGTGCGCGCACCGCCGGTAGACGCAGCACATGAAGAGGCAGACGCAGAGCGTGAGGCAGACGAAGATTGTGTCGACGAGGATCACGACCTGAGGAGTGCGGGCGAGGAGAGGGAGGCGGGGCGGGCGCGTGGTCGGGACTCGGGAGAAGAGAGCGCACAGGGGGCGAGGCGAGCCTGCTTTCGCGTGAGCAAGTCGAGCGTGGTCGGGGGCGGCTCGCCCATATCGCAGATAAACGGGTGTTCCATATCGCAATCGGTGTCGTCCCACCGCCCGCTCAACCGCATCTGGCCGCAGTCGTGCTCGAGGTCCGGGTCCTCGTTGTTGTTCGGCTTGCCCTCCTCCCACCCCGAGAAGAGGATCGACGGCCCTTCCATCTGGAGCGACAAGAGGGTCACCGGTGACCCGTCGGGCCAGACCCACCTCCCCTCGGCGGCCACGTCGCTGGCGCCGATCCAAGTGTCGCCTTCGATGAGGCCATGCACCTCCCAATTGCGTTCCTGGCTCGTTATCGCTACGAGGCTCCCGCCGAGCATGTCGCAGTGCTTGAGCGCGTCGCGCCACGCCTTTGGCTCGCGGATGTACTCGAGGCCGTGGAAGAGCGCCGGCGCCGGCGATGGAGGGGGCGCCTGCACCGCGCGTCGCATCGAGCCTCGTCGGCCGCGCACGTCCGTTTGTGCGCACGACCGGTTGTTATGGGAGGAGCCGCTGGGAACTCGACGCGGTCTGATCGCCGCCTCGCCTCTCGACGCGCCGATCCCGCTCCGCCTTCTTCTCGGCGGCGGCGCGGCTATCCTGTGGCCGGTCAGCCCGATCTTCGTCCGTGCGACCCAACTCGAGATTCCTCAGCCGCCATTCACAAAACGCACAACCCCGGGACCGAAATCGCACAGAGACAGTGAGAGAGAGAGAGAGAGAGAGAGAGAGAGAGACAGTGCTGCGGCGATGCCTCCGGCTGCTGCGGAGAGTGGCTTGCTGCTCGCTGCGATGGCGAAGAACTCGTCTCGTCACACGCCAAGGGCTTACGCTCTGTCGAGACGTGAGGCGTATGCGCCCAGGAGGGGAGGGCGCATGCGTAACGACGCTGCTAGAGATGCCTTTCGGGGCCCAGAGATAAAACTTCTGATGCCATGCGTGACCTAGTAGTGTCCCCAGCTATGGGCGTGTCCACGTTGGAGCCAGGTGTGGTGTGGACGCGAGAATAGCTCCGCCGTTCATGGAGGCAACCGATGCGAGTCGACTGGTGTGTGTCGTCGTGGTTTCGTATCAAGAATTCTCTCTCTCTCTCTCTCTCTCTCCGCACAGAGACAGTCACGCTATTCACAGTAACAACGGCTGTCCCAGGAAGCATGGCTCACAGTGTAGTGGTGTGAGCACACAAGTACTAGCAGAGTGCACACCTGCCTTATTGGGAGAGAGAGATTGCCTTATTGGCGGGTGTGAGTGACGTAAGTAAGAACTAAGGCCTTTAGATCTAGTTAACAGCTCACAGCTGTATATACGTTCACGCAAAAACACAACCCAGGACCAAGACGTTCACACACGTGGTGATAGACAGACGAGTTTCATCGCTCGCCGCGCGCCCGCGATGAGAGAGACTCACTCTCTCTCTGGAAGAAAGAGAGTGAGCAGAGAGAGCTCTCGAGCAGATACACGAGAGCTCGAGGAGATATTGTTGTTCGAGAGGTGCCAGCAGAATAACACATCAGATTCGCGTCTACTTTTTACGACGTCATGCTTGGAGACGGACTCAATCACAACGTCGATACTCGTCGCCGCGAGAATGGAGAATGGTTGGGCAGGTTAGTCACATCACGATCCCGGCGTGAACACGACTAACTGACGGATCCGCTCCTGACAGTGGCATGCAGCGCGCTGCGGCGCGTGCCACTGAGCACTGTCTTTGTTTGAAGTAAAAAGTCGAATCAGAGCGGTGTCGGCGTTGATCTCTGAGTTTTCCTCCCCCGGACCGCCCGTCCTTCACCGCTCCAGGACGCACGCCGGCGAAGCACCATCAAGCTGCTGTACGGCCCAGGCATCGCTTCCCCTGGCTTAGCTAGACTGAGAGAGATATTGTGCATATGGTCTGTCTCTACAATATACTCACTGACACTTTTTTACGCCTCCCAGAGCTCGTCCCGGTCCGCCACGGCCATCCTCGTCCTCCGGCGGGCCCCCGGCCGCGGCGCGGTGCGGCGGCGTCACAAATCCGCGAACGCAGAGCACCGGGACGCGGTCGGGCGATCTGACATCTGAGGCCCAACTAGGCGTTATGCATTGCCCATTGTCCAGGACACTAATCACCTCACACCTCTCTCACCTGGTCCTGGACCCCTAAAGCCGTACGGCTTTTTATATCAACAGGCGCCTGCGGCGCCGTGGTCAGGAGGTGTTGTTCACACCTGCCCAACCATTCGTGCAGCACAGTATGCATGTAATTGTCAGTGAATTCTCACTGCGGGCATACCTGCGAAACACAAAACAACATCTCCTGCAAACACACACACGCGAACACACGCCCAGCGGCTATCCCTGACCCTGTGTTCGTCACGCCGCGCCTGCGGCAGCACCCTCCTTCGTCCTCGGCGCAAAGTCCGCTGCTGCGGCGGCGATCCTCCTCCGCTCCGTGTATTCCGTCCAGAAGGTGCGCGGCTCGTCCGGGCGGCCCGAACAGAGCAGCACCTATACGGAGGCCAGCGACTGGGACGTTTGCGCCTCTGTGGAAGAGGGAGAGGGAGAGGGAGGAGAGCACCGCGCCTCCCCCTCCTCGCGCACGCTCGCGCCAATCCAGAGCGGCACCGGCGCGGCGTCGGGCAGCGTGCAGCGAAGGAGCCGCTCATCGCCAAAGCTGCTGCTGGCCGCCTCGTACGCCTCTGCCACCTCGGGCGGCGCGATGGCCTTCTCGAGCTTGTCGAGCGCCTTTTGCAGATGCCGCTTCTCCAGGTTGGCCTGCACTCTCGCGCACACGGCGCAACCCTGCGCGTTGCCGGCAGCAGCGGCCGTGCGGGCAAACAGCGAGTCGGCCGGGACCGCCACCGTCGGGTATCGTTTGCACCAGCGGGCGTAGCGGCGGTACGAGACGATGGCGTCGACCGTCGCGGCTCCCGCTGCGGCGGCGGCGGCGAGCCTCAGAGCGGATCGCCAGCCAGCGGAGCCGGCGGCCGAGGGCATCGCTCGGTGTGGATCGCGCCTCGCGGTGTGCGCGAAATATATCATGCGAGTTTGGCTGGATTGTGTCGGTGGAGACTTGTTCACAGCCTTGTTATTGAGAAGAAAATACCTCCTATGGCGCCGGTATGCCTTGCTCCTTTAGGTGCTTTTAATACGTTCTGATTCTTGTGCTGATACTTGCGTCCGAGACTGCTTGTGTTAGGTCTGGGTTTTCTTTTGCCCTCGGTGTCCTGTCTCGGTGCGAGTTGTTCCCCCTTCCTTTGTTGGACACCTAGTTGTTCCCCTTACAGCAGTGGCGGTCCGCTCACTGCGGTTTCTCTTGCTGCCGGCTGTCCGCCGACAGGTGGAGCCTCGTGAGGGCATCGAGCCCACACAGTCGGCGACAGTCCGTCGCCGCGCGCGGACCGCGCAGGACCCGGACCGGGCACGTCCGTGGAACCGGAGGTTCTGCGGCACGCAGGAAACATGCTCTCTCGCGCTTCTCGAGATTCCAAACTGTACCCCTACGCGGACCCGTGGGACGGCCAGCGGGGCCCGTTCTTCGAGCGCAACTGGCTGCCCGATATGCTGAGCGGCCTCGGTGGCGTGACCGATGACTACGCTTCGCTGACGGATCACCTCGACGGGATGGACCCACACGGCGTCCCTCCCACTGACGCCGCCCAGCTTGCGGCCAATGCCATGCACGTGAATGGCGCGAACCCCGCCGTTGGCCCTGCGTGGAAGAGAGCGAGCAGGCGTTCAAGAACCGCTCGTCAAAGGCGATTGCTGCGCTACGCCAGCACATCGTCTCCGTACCGCTCGTGGCGGAGATTGACAAGATGGTTCGCCTTTACCGCGGTAGCCAGTGGGCGCAGGGCGCCCCCATTCTGACGGCCACCTACCCGGCCACCTACCATGTGGTTGCGCTGCAAGGCCAGCCTCTGCAAGGGGCCCACCTCGTCGCTTACCAACAGTGCGGAAACTCACTCGCACGCCACGTCTTGGCGAGGCTCAAGCTCGATGGGATGCCTCGCCGCGTCAGCGGGCTGGACGTCGCCAACCAGAACACCGTCTGGGCAAACATTTCGCTTTCCAACAGCGTGGGGATTGCCCAGAACACACCGACGGCCCTCATGTCGCGCGCGCCGGGCGGCGCCGTGCTCGCGCCGGGATCGCGGCAGAGTATGGTGGAGAGCTCTACCCGCGCACCTGCCCAGCGATGAGCTCGACGCCGCTCCTGGCAGGCGAGGCAGGGATCTCGGCGACGTTGGAGAGCGGGCGCATATGCGTGGGCGACGCCCGTCCGCAGCCACGTCGTGGTGACGATGATGGCGAGGAGCATCACGGTGGAGAGGAGCGTCCCGGCGCTGCCTGGGCTCGCTCGAGTTAGCGGTCTGGGCGCGGCATGGGCAAAAATCTTTTATCAGAAAGAAAGAAAGAAAACAGACACGCCAAACGAGGGATGGGACGAGGACAGGGTCCCCACCTGCACGAGCAGGATTTTGGAAGAACGATCAGGGGGACAGGTGGGGCTCTCCTGCTCCTGACAAGGGACACGACAGGCTCGCAGCGCGGTGCGCGGTGGACTCCCACATCCACTGGCGGTCTCATCTCAGTCTAGCGACCTGCCTCCAGCTTGTCGCTGGCAGTCTCTCCTACCACAGTCAAAGAAAGAAAGAAAGAAAACACACAACCCAAGGGAGGGATGGGAGAACGGCACGCCGCCACCACACAGGGATTTTAAGGAGAGGAGTGTGGTGCGCTAGCCGTACCACAGTCAGAAAGAAAGAAAGAAAGAAAGAAAACACACAACCCAAGGGAGGGATGGGAGAACGGCACGCCGCCACCACACAGGGATTTTAATACCACAGTCAGGGCTTCCGAGGTGACGCTCGAAGAATTCTTCCTTCGAGTTGTCTTGTTTAAATTCTTCCTTCTCGACTTCGAGAAGCCCCGCTCCAGCTCCCGCCTCCAGCGCGCTCGCCGCCGCTGTGCCGGCCACGCGCGAGCCTCGCCAGAGCACGGCACACGCCTACATGCGCAGAGGGGGGTCGTCCGACTCCCTCCTCGTCGGCAGCCCGTGGAGCGGCTACACCGCCGTCGTCGAGCGTGAGTCTGCAGGGCGCGGCACGGAGGACGCTCGATGCGGCACGGAGCGGACCATCATACGTGGCATGGTGCTGATCGGCGTCTGCATGCTCGTCTTCACGCTCTCCTCCTCGCTGCGCGCCACGCCCGGCAGCCGCGCTGTCATCGCCGGAGGGCTGGGAGTGCGCACGGCGGCGGGGCGGCCGCAGCTCCCTCGCGGCGCTGTCGTCCTCGTCACCGGCGGCGCCGGCTTCGTGGGGCTCCACCTCTGCCTGCGGCTGCAGCGCGAGCACGTGCGGGTCGTCGCGCTCGACTCGCTCACGCCCTACTACTCGCTGGCACTCAAGGCGGCCGCGAAGCGCAGCCCGAGCCGCTTCCTCCCTCGCGCCCTCTCCTCCGCTCGCGCCCTGTCCTGCCGCTCCGCCTTGACGCCCGCTTCCTGCCCGCGCTCACAGCGCGCGCGCGTCGAGCAGCTGCGAGAGGCGGGGGTTGAGGTTGTCGAGGTGCGGCCCGCCAAGAGACTCCGACCCGTCTTTGAGATTCGTCCGACACTGTCCGGCACGACACTTGTTCCAGCACGGCCCGAGACTGGTACCCGCACGAGACGGATGCCACAAACACGAGACTTGTCCGGTCCAACACGTCACTCGCCCGAGCCGTGCCCGACACGGCGCCAGTGCCTTTGCTGCGCCGGCCGGGCGTTGCGCCCGTCCGCCAGGCGGACATGTGTGACCTAGGCCTAACCCTGACCCTAACCCTAACCCGCAGGCGGACATGTGTGACGAGGCCGGCCTGCGCGAGCTCATCTCCTCGCGCGGCGTCACGCACGTGGCGTCGATGGCGGCGCAGGCGGGCGGTGCCTCTCGGCCGCCCACCGCCCCTCCCCCTCCTCTTCAGAGCGGGCCCGGCCTGCCGCAGGCGGGCGTGCGCTACTCGCTCTCCAACCCGCAGTCGTACATCCGCTCCAACCTGCAGTGCTTCGTCTCGCTGCTCGAGGCGCCGCCTCCCGCTCCGCCCTCGCCCGCCCCCCCTTTCCCGCCCCTCCCTCCCGCTCCCACCGCCCTCCCCCCGCCCTTGTGCGCCATCTGCGGCAGGCTCTGCGCGCCTCGCCCCGCGTGCCGCTCATCTACGCCTCCTCCTCCTCCGTCTACGGAGCAAACACGAAGCAGCCCTCCTCCGAGTCGGACCGCGCCAGCAGGAACTTGCACGGAACCCTCACGGAACTTTCCTGCAGGCAGCCCTTCTCCGAGTCGGACCGCGTCGACGCGCCCAACTCGCTGTACGCCGCCACCAAGCGCGCAAACGAGGCCAGCCTAACCCCAACCCTAGCCCTTACCCAACTCGCTGTACGCCGCCACCAAGCGCGCAAACGAGGCCAGCCTAACCCCAACCCTAGCCCTTACCCAACTCGCTGTACGCCGCCACCAAGCGCGCAAACGAGGCTTGCCCGGCCGACCCGCCTCCGGCCGAGCCGCCGCCTGCGCGAGCCCGAGCCGAGCCGGCGCCTTACCGGCGCTCGCCCCGGCTGCAGGCGATCGCCCACGTCTACCACGGGCTGTACGGGCTGCGCGTGACTGGCCTGCGCTTCTTCACCGTGTACGGCCCGTGGGGGCGGCCGGACATGGCCTACTTCTCCTTCACGCACCGCATCGCCACCGGGCGGCCGATTGAGGTGTACGGCCACGGCGCGCCGCGCCGCGACTTTACGTACATCGACGACGTCGTGGACGGCGTCGTGGGCGCGCTGGGGCTGGCGGCGGAGGAGGAGATCTTTAACCTGGGGAACCACCGCTCGGAGAGCCTTCTCCACTTTATTGAGGCGCGAGTCGCAACCTCCTCTTCCCCGCCACCGATCTCTCCCGCCGACTCCCGCGACCGGACTGGCGACTGCGGAGCGGAGGGGGGGGGGGAGAGAGTGCGGTGGGTGGCGGTGCCGACGGTCGGCGCCCGTGTGGCGCAGGTGCTCGAGTCCCTAACCCTAACCCTAACCCTAACCCTAACCCGTGTGGCGCAGGTGCTCGAGTCCGAGCTCGGCGTCAAGGCTCGCCTGCCGCGTCCGCGCCGGTTGGCGTCTTGGGCCGCTTCGTCACACGCCTCCGCTCTTTGTAGGCCAATCGCACGATGGTCGAGATGGCGCCGGGCGACGTGTCCGCGACCTATGCCGACGTCAGCCACGCGCGAGAGCGATTGGGCTATTCGCCGAGCACGTCCATCGAGATGGGCCTCCATCGCTTCATCGAGTGCGCACGAGGAGCAGGGAGGGAGGTCGCCTAGGCATCTGGCTAAGCCCCTCCTTCGCCGCCACAGGTGGTATCGCTCGCCGAGGTTTAGGGCCGAGTTTGCCGAAGGTGGAGAGTGGCAGAGGACAAGAAGTAACTTTTGATGAGGAGGCGCGGGTGCGGTGGTTGGGGCCCGATGTGTGAGCGGAGAGAGACAGAGGAGAGAGGGGTTTGGCGCCCATGGCGGCGTCTGGGAAGCGCGGAGATGGGTTTCGCGAACTCAGTTCACACAAAAACACAACCCCGGACCCACAAGGCACAAGCAAGCACAGTCCACAGACAGTCGGACTGTCAGTCGAGAAGGGAGAGACAGCATACAGCAACGACCCAGTCAGAAGTCAGCGCTGGGTACCACAGGAAGGCGAATGCGATGACGCGGCCTCTAGTGTGAGCTCTAGCTAGTGAGCTCATACGCACGCGCCACGCCGGCAAATCGCGACTATATAGTTAGAGGCTGCGCAGGCCGTCCCGTTTGCTGTTTGCATAAAAAACGCCTGTCTGTTGCGCTCAGCGCGCTGCCGGGGCTGTCTCACTCACGTGCCGCAATATGTGTCACACACGGCGGCTTCTGCCACCTCTCGATTGGCTCCACTTTCTACGCACACCTACCGGGGAAGGGGTGCTTGGGAGCGGGGGCGGGGGCGGGGGCGGGGGCGGGGGTGGGGGCGGGGGCGCGCAGCGCGCGGCGCGCGCAACAGAGGGTAGGGTGGGGAAGACGGCGAGGAGGGGGCGGCGGCGGCGGCGGCGGCGGCAGCGCGCGCGCGGCGCGCGCGACGGAGGGGCCGGAGCAGCGACCCCTGGCGCGGTCGCTGCTCCGTCTGTGACAGACGCGCGCTCTGCCGGTGCAGAGCGCGCGCGTCAGGCAAAGGAGGGCAAGCGTGGCGGCGCGGGACGCGCGGCGGCGGCGGCGAGCAGCCGAGCGCTCCGTGAGCGGTGAGGCGGCCGGGCGAGGGCGCGGCGGGTGACGGGTCAAGGGAGCAGCCCACACCCGGCGTCGCTTTTTGAGCGACGCCTGTGGCACGCCTGCGCAGGGGCCGCAGGTCGGTCAGTTGTGGGGCGAGGCGGTGCCGGCCGCGGGCCGGGTGCAAGGCGCCGGCCTCGGCGCCGCCTCGGCGCGCAGCACGGGCGCGGCGAGCCTCTGAGCGGGAGCCGGAGGTTTGCCTGTGGGAGGGAGGTGGTGGGGTTGTTTGACTTTGCCGCAGAGGCTGTCCCTAGCTGTGAACAGCAAAACGGGACAGTATACAGCTAGTTAGTTAGGAGCCGCGCCCGCGCCCGCCCCGGCGCCCGCGCCCGCGCCGGCGCCCGCGCCCGCGCCGCCCGCCGGCACGGGCATGGAGCCCCCGCCCAAGAGGTCGCGCATCCACTACAGCGCTGACGCCAAGGCCTTCTTGCTCGACGCGCGGCAGCGCTGCCGGCAGGCATGTGCCTAGGAGTGAAGGTGCGCCGGTAGGCGCTGTCACGGGTTACCAAGATGTGACGGTCATCGCCGGGGGCAGGCGAGCGCGGCAGCGCGCGCGGCAGCGCTGCCGGCAGGCATGTGCCTAGGAGTGAAGGTGCGCCGGCAGGCGCTGTCACGGGTTACCAAGATGTCACGGTCATCGCCGGGGGCAGGCGAGCGCGGCAGCGCGCGCGGCAGCGCTGCCGGCAGGCATGTGCCTAGGAGTGAAGGTGCGCCGGCAGGCGCTGTCACGGGTTACCAAGATGTCACGGTCATCGCCGGGGGCAGGCGAGCGCGGCAGCGCGCGCGGCAGCGCTGCCGGCAGGCATGTCCCTAGGAGTGAAGGTGCGCCGGTAGGCGCTGTCACGGGCTACCAAGATGTCACGGTCATCGCCGGGGGCAGGCGAGCGCGGCAGCGCGCGCGGCAGCGCTGCCGGCAGGCATGTGCCTAGGAGTGAAGGTGCGCCGGCAGGCGCTGTCACGGGTTACCAAGATGTGACGGTCATCGCCGGGGGCAGGCGAGCGCGGCAGCGCGCGCGGCAGCGCTGCCGGCAGGCACGTCCCTAGGAGTGAAGGTGCGCCGGTAGGCGCTGTCACGGGTTACCAAGATGTCACGGTCATCGCCGGGGGCAGGCGAGCGCGGCAGCGCGCGCGGCAGCGCTGCCGGCAGGCATGTGCCTAGGAGTTAAGGTGCGCCGGTAGGCGCTGTCTTCGGTTAAGGTGCGCCGGTAGGCGCTGTCTCGGTTAGGGTTAGGGTTAGGGTTAGGGTTAGGGTTAGGGTGAGGGTGAGGGTCAGGGTTAGGGTCAGGGTTAGGGTTAGGGTTAGGGTTAGGGTTAGGGTTAGGGTTAGGGTTAGGGTTAGGGTTAGGGTTAGGGTTAGGGTTAGTTCCGTTTGTTGGTTTGCTTGCACTGTTCACAGCAGTACCCTAACTGTCTTCTCCTTGTACATCTATGCTGGGGAGGTTCCCTCCCCACAAGGAGAAGCGACTAGCGTTTTGGCCCCCCAAAACCCCCCCCTAGGACCAGGTTTCGGGACCTGAAAGTGAAGTCCTGGCGAGTTATGCTGAAAAAACATCCATTTTTGGCCGTTTTTGGCCCAAAATGGGCCTTGAACTGGCAGCCACTCCCCACTAGAGCAGAATTCTGACCATCTGAGCTATGCTAGGGCAAAACCTGACCATCTGAGCTATTCAGGCCCAATATGGGCTGTGGTCATGAAGGCCTTGTTGGCGACCACGCGACCAAAGTGGTCGTGACCGTGGTCGTATGTTGGCGACCACGTCGCTGGCGAGCTAGGGTTACCTTGGGGGCTACGTTTATAGCGCGACCAGTGTGGTCGTGACCGTGGTCGCAAGTTGGCGACCATGTTGGCGACCATATAGGGTTTTTGGTCGCATGGTCGCTGGCCTTATGTTGGCAACCACGCGAGCTAGGGTTAGGGTTAGGGATATGGCTGTCGAGCTAGGGTTAGGGTTAGGGATATGGCTGTCGAGCTAGGGTTAGGGTTAGGGCTATGGCTGTCGAGCTAGGGTTAGGGATAGGACTATGGCTGTCGAGCTAGGGTTAGGGTTAGGGCTATGGCTGTCGAGCTAGGGTTAGGGTTAGGGCTATGGCTGTCGAGCTAGGGTTAGGGATAGGACTATGGCTGTCAGGGTTAGGGTTAGGGTTAGGGTTAGGGTTAGGGTTAGGGTTAGGGTTAGGGTTAGGGTTAGGGTTAGGGTTAGGGTTAGGGTTAGGGTTAGGGTTAGGGTTAGGGTTAGGGTTAGGGTTAGGGTTAGGGTTAGGGTTAGGGTTAGGGTTAGGGTTAGGGTTAGGGTTAGGGTTAGGGTTAGGGTTAGGGTTAGGGTTAGGGTTAGGGTTAGGGTTAGGGTTAGGGTTAGGGTTAGGGTTAGGGTTCTGGTTAGGGTTAGGGTTAGGGTTAGGGTTAGGA